TTAGTGACCATGGAACTTGAGCAGGCACTGACTCATTCCGCCAGCCCCTGGATCAGGTCTGTCTATCGAGCAACGAAAGCGCCTCACGCTCGCCACCGAACTCGTCGCCAAACCGTCTCTCCTGTTCCTCGATGAGCCTACCTCTGGTCTTGATGGCCAGTCAGCTTACGAAATCTGCCGCTTCATGCGTAAGCTTGCTGCTTCAGGTCAGACGATCATCTGCACCATCCACCAGCCCTCTGCAACCCTCTTCGATGCTTTCGACGTGCTTCTTCTTCTCGCACGTGGAGGAAGAACGACGTACTTCGGGCCGACGGGCAAAAACTCTGCTACGGTGATCGACTACTTTGGCCGCAATGGAGCGCCCTGTGCTCCGGACTCGAACCCTGCTGAGCATATTGTCGATGTTGTCCAGGGTCGCTTCGGAACGGAGATCGACTGGCCGCAGACATGGCTGGACTCTCCCGAGAGAGAATCTGCAATGTCCGAGCTGGATGCCCTGAATTCTGCAGAGAGCCAGAAGAAAGCCCAAGTCTCTCCTTCGGCTACTACTTCAGATGACCTTGACCAGCACACAGGCTTCGCGACTCCGATTTCTTATCAAGTCTACCTTGTTACCCGCCGTCAGCTGGTTGCTCTCTGGCGCAACCCCGACTATGTGTGGAACAAGATTGGACTTCACATTACTAACGGCCTCTTTGGCGGCTTTACATTCTACATGCTCGGCTCCGGGACGTTCGATTTGCAGCTCCGACTGATGGCGGTTTTCAATTTCGTCTTCGTCGCTCCAGGATGCATCAACCAGCTACAGCCGCTATTCATCCGCAACCGGGATGTCTTCGAGACGCGCGAGAAGAAGTCCAAAACCTACCACTGGTTCGCATTCGTAGCTGCGCAGCTGCTGTCAGAAACGCCCGTTCTGATAATCTGCGGAACCTTGGCGTTTGTGACCTGGTACTTCACTGTTGGATTCCCCACCGAGGCCAGTGTGTCGGGACAAGTCTACCTCCAGATGATCCGTGAGTTCGCCATCGGTATCCCACGTTCATGCCTATCCATGCTAACGCAAACTGTGTTCAGTCTACGAGTTCCTGTACACCTCTCTTGGCCAAGCCATCGCTGCCTACAGCCCGAACGCTTTCTTTGCGGCGCTTGCGAACCCCATCATCATTGGTGCGGGTTTAATCAACTTTTGCGGCGTTGTGGTCCCATATTCACAGATCACGGCATTCTGGAGATACTGGCTGTACTGGTTGGACCCCTTCACTTATCTCATCCAAGGTCTTCTTGAGCCCGTGTCATGGGGTGTCGATGTACAATGCAAGCCTGACGAGCTGAGTTACATCCCTCTCCCGAGCAACAGTACATGTGGAGAGTATATGGCAGACTTCCTGTCTTCAGAAGCGGGATATGTGGTCGATCCGGCCAATGGCACCTTGTGCGCGTACTGCCCGTACACGACCGGAGCTGATTACATGCGAACCATGAATATCAACGACTCAAGCTATGGCTGGCGCGGTGTAGGTCTCTTCAATTACAAGAATTTGACATTGTTGCTTACCTGCTTCAGGTTGGCATCACAGCCCTCTTCTGTGTTTCGTCCTACGCCCTGGTGTTTCTCATGATGAAGCTCAGGACTAAAACAACCAAGACAGCAAATTGAAATGCTGTCGTCTGCAGGTCACGGACTATTCTTGAAGAGCCATGTATCATTCATTCCTTGTACATGAGGGCGTACGGAAGGCGGACGAAGGGAAAGACTGATTCGTGTCCGAAATAATACCCTGAAAGTTTCATCGGACATGACAGGGCTGGTCGGACATGAGTAGTCATCATAGCATTTCTCGCCGCTAATTCCTCGTAAGAGAAGACTAGCAATATCAGGTGATATCGCTACTGTCGTGGTCCCTGTTATCGTCGTCTCTTTCGTCGTCGTCCCTGCCTTTATTGTTCATGTCGTCGTCTGTGATCACCGCCTGTCCGATCAGCAAAAGTCTTTGTGCTACAATCCAGCCAACATGGGTCCAGGAATGGACTGTTTGTACAACAGGCTAAATGTCTTGTGGAAAATCTTAAAAATAGCTCTCATCCTACATCGAACAGATGTTCCATCCATGTCAACGTGGCAGTATCTTCACCGCCGGTGTGAGCTTTACGCGCCAAGACAGCATACTGCTTGACTGCCGCCGCGCATGCAGTTTCAACAATGTTCATCGGCCGGCCGGGCAGAGCCGATGAAGATCGTCTAGTCAATGAACTCTCGGCGTCCGATGACAAGTGGCAGTGCTCGTCCCGTTTCCGAAAGGATCTGTCGATCTCGAAAACGCCTATAGGAGGCAAGAATCAGCCTCCTGAAAAGCCATCTTGGCGTCGCCTCAACTTCACACCCGCGAGGCTATATCGATGGCGGGAAGTCTTTCTGCCCTGCAGCGGCACCTTGCGGAATACGATACCGACGATCTCGAGACCGAACTACGGGGCGGGCAGGGTCTGGTCAGTTCACGCTACTTGAATAGGCGCAGACGCAGCAGACTGGGGCCATCCCATCTCGCAGCTTTACTCAACTTGGGCCATTTGGCCGAGGGGTCCCGAAGGATAGAGCTGACAGCTGAAACAAAATAAACACGGGTTCCTTCAGTACGACTTCAACTTTTCTCGCAATTCTCGCAATCACATGCATCAAACCCCTACCTACACGGGATGATGACTTATCAACGGACTTTGGCGGACTTTTCGCTTCCTTTGATGAGTGCTACATTATCTGTTTGATGAACGGAATCGTGAATCCGAGTTGGTTCATCCAAAATCGTCTTTGGCGGCTTCTTGTGGAGCAGACGTGTAGCAACAACGTGGATTCTGCCCACCGTGCCGTGGATGGGCTGGATCACTCCCATCATACTACTATCAAATGCTTGCAGCATAAGCTGCGGGCTGCAATGTAAACGACGGAAATAACACAATGACTGCAATTCCCCATCGTCTTGTAATACCCTCACCATACCATTGGATACCAACATGGTTCTCCTGAACTCACGGTCGGCGATCCGCGGGCGTCCGGCGCGTGTTCGTTTGGTCGATGGTGCTGTCGGTTTTAAGAAATTACATCTTTTAACGTTGGGGGCCGCAGGTAACAGAGGCGGCCCATCCCGGCTTCCGATGCGCCTGGGCGCGGGGTAGCAGTGGACAGAGGCGGCCGGCCGTTCCACGGCCGGGATGGCCATGGCTTCTATCTCCGGTTAACCACCAAGGTTTCGGCGATCACTCGTCGGCTGTTGCACTGATTGGTCTCTGCAGGTTTCAAGTCCCGACTTCTTAAGTTGTGTGCGGCATGATGGCAATGTCCGGAGGGTTCCCAGGCAAGCCTGGCTAGCGCTGGGCAGCAAGCGAAATGCACGTCAATTATTCTGCCGTAATTGCATTGGGAACTTCTGTGAGTAATCCCAACCTTAGAACTACGCTGGCTGTGTGGAAAAGAAGAAGACTGGTTTGGTGATGACTGGAGGCACACGGTGGACTTTTCGTGCATGATGATAGACAGCCCCGCAAAGCTCACAGTCGAGCCAAAGCCATGCAGTGACTATTGAGTAGGAAGTTGTTGTTGATCGGAATTATCGGATGGCTCGACCTGCCTTACTTAGGACTGAACTGTCAGCGTCACATTCGCTAAGACCAAGGTTGTTCACTGACAGAGACAATTTTGGGATGATGATACTTGGGCAATGTTTTATCGAAAAGGCTTGAAGTTTAACAATAATCATGCAATGGGCGTATTGGATACACATCTTCCAGACTTCCATCAAGCTTCCGGTTGAGAACTTCTGGTTCTTTCTAGATTGACAGATTTCTGGAATCAAAACCCGATCAGATTAATTGCTTCGAGCTCGAAGGTTTCTATGCTTAGATTCGCATAGATCCGACGACGATATCAAAGATCAGACAACCGCACAGCTTCGTGAGACGTCGATGCACGCGAATATATTTCGAAGCTGTCATCAGTGATGGCACGAATAATGTCCATGTATGTATGAGCTACATTCTTTGTATGAGCTTGCAATAGCCGACATGCATTCACCCGGCGTTTGCGGATGGGCGGCGGATTTGCCGCCATACGGCCGTAAATTACCACGACACTGGTCATATCACCGGGCGATGATGTCGTGATGTTTGACGGAGTGAGTCGGGACCTCGAGCTGGTCCGAGCCGGAACATTCGATCCGCACATATTCTAGAACGCTTCTGGATCAGGGCCGCTGGGCGTTCGGGGTTAGCGGCTACGCTATCGCCCGCCTCCTGCGTATTGGCTGCCTCTAATTAAGATTGGCTTGCATGTACCAATTGGCTTCGTGATTCCTTTCTGGGTGAGGAGTTGCCTCTTTTGAAGCGACAAGGATGTGTGGAAGGGTTCGTCGTGATCCGGAAGCAAAGTCAGAATTGCGCTCTGACATAAACCCAATCGGATTCGGATAACGGGCTGCGGACTCTGTCACCGACTGGTCTGTCGTGTGTGAACATGGCTTGATCCATGTGCCCATACTTGCATCTCCGGTGAATAAGGTCTGGTGAGAGAGGGGAATGGGGTAGGGGACCCCCATCAGTGAGGTCCCTTATCATTGCTTTGGTCTCTTGTCTTACTCGACGTCTGATATTCGGCGGCCAGGGACTCCGTGCGATGACGGCTTTGTTTGACTTCGCGTGCTGCTGATCACTCCACCCCGCTAGGAAATGCGTTGCGCCTCGACCCTGACAACATCCGACCCCTCGACGAACTCTAATCGGAACTAGAGCGGCCGGGCGAGTCAGGGCAGGTGCGGGACGCTCCTCATCGCATGTCGTCAAACTTCCTTTTATCAGCTGCTCGCAACCCCCTCTTTCTTATGTCTTTGGGTTGGAAGGGTCTTGCTACCTAGGAACACTTCACTGAATCACACGAATTCGCTGTTGAACCGTGAAGCGATGAGCCTCTTCGCGTGGTTCCCAGCTCGAGTCGAGCGACTGAAGCAATGAGCAACACCACAAGCCCGGTCGGGGCCTTCCCGCCTCCGCCGGGCGTCACGCCGAATTTCAGTGATCCCACAGATGCCGGTTGGACGTTGAATGTTGCTGGGATGAGTGTGATGGCTGCTGTCACGACGTGTTTTTTTGGGATAAGGACATACGTAAAGTTCTCCTACGGGAGCCAGTTTCTCCCTGAAGACTGTAAGCGGTCCTGACAGAAGCAAACTACTTTGGCAAAGCTGACTTGTAGCCAAGGGACATGTGCGATCGCATATGTGAGGTTCCTTCTCTGGCTCGAAAATCGGTCCGCCAAAGACTTAAAACTGACCAAAACAGGCCCTCATCATACTTTACACCTCGACGGTGTTTGTCAGTAAGTATGGAGTCTCCGCCGACCAGGATCGAGTTTCTGACAGGCGGGGCTTTTAGTGGCACACTATGGCGAAGGATATCACGCTTGGGACTTAACGAAAGAGTCCTATCAAGAAGTGATGAGGGTAGGTTTGCAGTTCCACGGAAAGTCTTAATGGGGAGGCTCACTATATGACCACAGTGGCTCTACGCAAGCTCCATCATTTATTGTCCCGCCGCCTATTTCACGAAGGTCACCCTCCTCCTCCTCGAAGCTCGAGTTTTCTCCATCCATGAAAAGGTCGCCCGCGGCATCAGGATATTCGTAATCATCCTCCTCGTATGTTACATTCCAATCCAAACGCTCAAGACGATCATCTGCATCCCAATCTCTGCCTTCTGGGACCCGCACACCCCGAACCCGAAATGTCTCAATCAGCGGAAAATATTCATTGCCGATCTTGCACTAGCGATCATAACCGACTTTTTTATTCTTTGCATCCCATTTCCCCTGCTCTGGGGTCTCAGGATGCCACTTCGGAAGAAGCTGAAAATTCTTGTCCTCCTCGGGGCTGGGGGTGTGGCCACGGCCGTGACGATATATCGATTGTATCTGGTCATCCTATTTCTTTCATCCACAGACGTAACATCCGACTTCGTCGTTCTGGATCTCGTAACGCGAGTAGACCCGAATTCGGTAGATCTGTTAACGCAACTGACGTTGCACAGGTGTCTGGAACTCGTCATCGGCATTGTATGCGCCTGTCTGCCGTCAACAAATATTCTTTACGAACGGATCCGCCGAGGTCAACCTGCAAAGACAGGTAACCTCCCGGATAATACTAGTGACTACCAGAAGAAAAGCGACAACTCATCTTACTGGTGGAGTATGATGACTGGGAAGCAAACCCGACCTGCGCGAACCGAAGTGGCCACTGTCGCCGAGGTGGTACGAAGCCCCAATCATGCCGCGACATTCGATACGGAGCTTGCGATCTTAAATGGACAACCTATGGGTATGCGTCCTCCCACTGGTGAAACGGATCAGAAATCGCCATCCCTCTCGATACTTGTACACAACGACGAGGAATGGACGTATGATCCACGGGCGAACTCCATGGACGGCCGACGCGAAGGATGGCTCGCGCCCGGTGGCGAGAGCTCCGTACAAGGGGCGTCACCGGCCAAGTCTATTAACTGGCAGGATCACGCACTGGAAGCTAGGAGGTCATGGGAGGCTGTATGGGAGCGAGCAATACCGGCCGAAGGGCTGCACCCTATACCGGAGGTTGGAACGGCGGGTCCGCCCCGATTAAAGCTCACAACTCACCCACCGCCCGACTGGGACGACTTGGATCATGGACCATAATGTGTCAGAGACGTCAAAAGTTGACTTTCGTTGAATTACAAAGATACCCAACAATGTTTGCGCGGAAGTGTCAAGGTTCGAGGCTGCTGAGATATCGCGGTCACATGAGCGCGGCGGAGGGCCAGATGGAAGACAAAGCATCAGAAACGTAGACGAGAAATTGTCATTAATTGATGTGGTTACGGGGAGCTAACGTGAGTGTCGACTGCTGAAGCTACAATTATTATGTGTCGGTGATAGAATGATACGACTTCAGCTACCCAAGTTACGACGTCATTGTGCATACTGGGAAGACGAAATATCCTGTGCGTAAGATGCTCCACCTGCTTGGGATCATTCCACCGACGTTGCGTAGCGTCAATTTGTTGAAGAGGCATCTCTCTGATTCTGGTCTCATTAAACATTTGATTTAGTTAACAAAAGTGTCGAGTTAAAATAGTACTTCATCAGCTGTGCCCGGACAATCATATACTGGCGTTATGTAACACTCGATGGGATAGTCTGATCGAGGACGAAGGCAGGCAGGGACGGGAAGAACGAAACAGATGGCAACGACTACGACGAAGATGACGGCAGTGAAGCAAAAAATAGTAGTCGCTTTCGCACAAAGGAAATAAGTGCCCCTCACAACCAAACCCCAGCCCCTTGAAGAATGGGCACCAGCCTGGATAGAAAACAGATAGAAAAATCCGTGTCATAAAAGCAACATCAGTCACTGATTTTCTTTTTCCAATTTTGCATTTCCAGCCGTCGAGTTAGCAACCTGTTCGCTTGGCTGAGCAAGTTTTCGTAATTGAAGCCCACATTGTGTTTCCAGCCAATGAGTAGAGAGTCTTCGGCATGAGCCCCACACCCCTTACGGTTGAACTACGAGTCTGTAGAGTTGAAACTCAATGTTGAGAGAGAAGCAAAACATTTCTGCCTAGATATCTGCATTTTGCTGCCCGGTGGTTGAAATTGTGTGAAATCTGCCCAGAGACAGGTCCTTATCTTCGACTGCTCACTGTCGTATCACGCATGACCAAGAAAGTCTTGGCGGTTGAGTGGATCCAGCCAGACACTGGGAGTTCACCCTCAAGTTGCGCGACGGCGACGGCGTGGTCTCTTCAACACCGGCAACAAGAGTCACCGCAACTTACAACGCGCGACTCGGAGTAGCCCCGCGGACCTTTTGTAAACCATCAAGGTTGGAATAGAATTACCAGTTGCGATTGGTGCGGAATTAATGCAGTGTGACAAGTCGCAGTGTAACGATTGAATTACACAGCATGAGGCGGAATCAAGATACGCGATTAGACAACTTGCCGTATCTCGCACGAACGCAATCTCTTGACGCCATTTATGGATACTACGCGGAGGGTTCTTTTTGAGAAGGTGAATGCAAGACAAGAGGCCAGAATGACGCTGTGACTTGGCAACGCATAGTGGTTTCTTAGCACTTTTGCTGGCCAAGCATGCGGGAGCGTTACAACGGCGCTCTTGGCAGACCAGTGGATGCCGACAGATACGATGCGCCCAGAGGCTCAATCGAGGATTCCTCCCGGACGGCTGTGCTTGTTGCCAAGCTCGGGCGGGTATGTAGGTAAATTTGCGGCGAAGGGTGGTGGACTGCCGGGCCGGGGCTTCGGCGGCGCTGATTCGTTGACCCCAAGTACCGAGCGGAGCATACCCCGAACACACCTGCTTCTTTCGGCAGGAGGATCCGCATCGCGACATTGGTAGCTCGTTGGTTGCTTTTGGCAGTCCCCCCAACCGCCGCCTGCTGACCTTCTCTTTCCAGTCAGAACGCAGAAGAATAATCATGTTTTTGACTCGCCAAGTGGCGGGGAGACACTGCGACGCCCGAAAGGCAGCTTGGGAAGGGGGAGAAGACGAGATGCCAAGATGCAGTTGGAATAAGATAAAAAGAGGCGTTCTTCTCCCCAGGTTCTGGTGCTCGTAGTCAGTAGGCTCTACACCTCTCTCCGCTCTTTGACACGCCAAGCGATCGTCGTGGTTCAACCGCCAAGTCAACCCCCTGCTCCAGCCAATCCTCAGCACGTTCTTTTGAACCATTCAGAATGAAGGCCACCACCTTGGCAACCTTTGCCTTGTCGGCGCTGCTCCAGGGAGCCTCCGCCAAGGAGATCCCGCCCAGTGAGCTCGTCTCTGAGATCTACGACAGCGGTTCCGTTCACATGGACCTCATGGCCCGTAAGAAGGTAAGCGATTGACAACTCATTCCGGGCAAGACAACGTCCGCTGACACAAAGTCAATCAGGAATCATGGGACCGCCAGAGAGCCGCCGGAGAGATGGAGTCCACTGCTTACCGCAGCCGTCTCGCCGAGGAGGGCCCCGTCTCTTGCGTGAACGGTGTTGCTGAGGTCGTTCCTGGCGATGCCCTGAACACCTTCAAGTGCAGCAACATCGACTTCTACGACTTCAAGAGCCACTCCGACCTTGGCTCCACCACCGGCGAGGGTTCTTCCTCCTGGGGCTGGACCAGCCCTGATGGTCGTGAGTTCGCCGTCATCGCCCAGGCTGACGGTGCCGCCTTCGCTGAGGTCACCAAGGAGGGCAAGCTCGTCTACCTCGGACGCCTTCCTCAGTACTCTACCACGTCCATCTGGCGTGAGCTTCGTGGTTACAAGAACTACATCGTCATTGGCAGTGAAGCTGCCCGTCACGGTGTCCAGATCTTTGACCTGACCAAGGTCAGTAATGCTCAATGTTACCGAATCTATTTGGCTGGTTAAACTAACATGTCGTCAGCTTCTGGACCTTGACCCCGCCAACCCCAAGACCTTCGACCCCAAGGCCGACTTGACCTCTTGGTGGAACGGTCTCCCCAACGGCTCCACTCACAACATCGTCATCAACGAAGAGAAGGAGTACGCTGTCGCCGTCGGTGCTCAGCCTCGCTCCAGCACTTGCCGCTCTGGTCTTATCTTCATTGACCTCAGCGACCCTGAGAACCCCACCTCTCCCGGTTGCGCCGGTGGTGACGGTTACGTCCACGACGCTCAGTGCCTCGTCTACCGCGGCCCCGATGAGAAGTACTTCGGCCGTGACATCTGCTACGGCTACAACGAGGACACTCTGACCATGTTAGTCTACAAGAATGATAATTGAAGGTTCCTAAGCTAACAAGGTCATCAGCTACGATGTCACTGTGAAGAACACCACCAACATCATCTCGCGCACCTCCTACGAGGGTGCCAGCTGTACGTAACAAACCTTCCTGTCAATGATTATAGTCGCTAATAGAATTGGAAACAGACACTCACCAGGGTTGGGTTACCAACACCGAGTGGCAAGAGTACCTCGTCCTCGACGACGAGTACGACGAGTACGACGCCACTGGCCCCGCTGCCTCTGGATACCCCATCACCTACTTCTGGGACATCCGCTCCCTCGAGGCCCCTAAGCAGACTGGTATCTACAAGAGCGCCGCCTACGGTATCGACCACAACCAGTTCGTCATTGACGGCTTCGCCTACCAGAGCCACTACGGCGCCGGCCTCCGCGTCATTGACGTCTCTTCTCTGCCCGAGGACCCCACCGGCGGCAAGGTCAACGAGGTCGGCTTCTTCGACATCTACCCCGAGAACGACGCCGAGCCTAACGGAGGATCCATCGACTTCGTCGGCACCTGGAGCCACTACCCCTACTTCAAGAGCGGCTACATCCTGGTCAACACCATTGAGCGTGGTGCTTTCCTCGTCAAGCGCACTGCCTAAATCGCTGCTTGAGGCAACTAAATCCGCAACCCTCCGGGGGGTGGGCTTGCATTGCTCCTTCGAGTTGCAGGTTGAGCACTTGGCATGCCGAGATGCTCTTTTACATCTTCATGTTAATAGTAATCACAACTGTTGATAAATGCCAATACCAATTTTTGATGCCATTTTCTGAAGTTCAATGATGAAGAGAGTGATTTGGTGAGCGCATCAAGGTTAGCCTGACATCCGTCTCGAAGACAAAGAATTTCTGCCCACGTCGGCCACGCGTCTGAATCCTTGCTGAGTCGAAGTTTCCCTGGAAGACTGGCGAACAGACTGCGTTGAGACGACGCTTTGACTTCGCCAATTTGCCTAACGTTGAAAAGAGTAACAAACCACCGAACTAATAGTGCCGAAGCGGACGAGAGAGGCCTGCACAGACCGCAGACTGAATAGTCGTAAACGCGGCAAACATTTGGGGGCGACAAAGCTCCAGTGATCTAAGAATTGCAACCGCTTATTTTGTGGAATATTCCCAGGGGTCGGAAGGCCGGTCTTCAGTCCGCGGTTTAGTTGTTCTAGAAGCTGGCAAATTACTGTTAGGCTTTCGGCCTCCGAACGTTGCTGAAGGGGGCACTAGGGGATAAAGTTGAGGCTACGAAACAATTGCGAGTCATCAAAAGGACGTCCGATCTTCTGCCTTACTTGATGGGGATTAAACTCAGTATGGCCAGCGTACAATCGTTCCCCCGCGTTCCCGCGTCTCCGCGTGTCCGTGGCTGTTTTGTGCCGGGCAGCGACTCTTCCGCTGAGCGTTCTAGCATTGATGAAAATGTCCTCGGAACCCAAGGAATCGTAATGCAGAAAAATTGGGAAAGCTCCGGAACGCCCCCACGATTCAATTGATTGAGAGCTAAAGACGTATGTTTACTGCCTGAGTTGGGGCGTCGAGGCGACGCGACAGCAGCAGCAGCCATGGGGACGGAACAGCTGGACAGCATGCTGCGGCGCGATGCAAGGTTTCTGAGAGAAATCTGGGCATGGTTCACAGTCGGAGCCGTCGTCATATTCCTCCGTTTCTTCGTTCGGATCCGCATGGTAGGGCCGAAAGGTCTCAAGGGAGACGACTATGTCATGTTCGTGGTGAGTATCTCAATCGAGTCATCGAGGGGTCGACTTTCTGACACAAGAGACTGCGCAGACCTTAATCATGTACACTATCTGTTTTGTGATGGTGGACCTTGTTTGTAAGTTACCATAATGTGTTCTAATTGGCAAGAACACAGACTCAAGACAGACAAGGGAGGAGTCATACTGACAGGAAGGTCCAGACCGCTACGGCACCAACGTGGACCTCACCGCTGATCAGATCAAACTTCTCAATGATGAGGAAGTTGCTCGATTGGTTGAGGGTTCCAAGTTCCAGCAGGTTGCTTGGTACTCATACACAGCGTACCTTTGGTCCATGAAAGGCACATTGCTCTTCTTTTAGTAAGAGTATAGGCTCGGTTTGAAATGGCCATTATGCTAACCACTTCAATAGCAGACGGATGACCTTTGATCTGTGGCAACACGCAAGGGTACTGACTTACCTGACTTGGTTCACAATAGCCGCATACCTAGCAGTTGTTGGCACAATAACATTCAGTTGCCTACCGTAAGTCTGACCCGTCTAGGGATTTGAAGGCTTTGGAACTGATTAAATGGCAGATTTCAGGACAATTGGGGTGTACGACCCCTTCCAAGTGAGAAGTGCGTCTTCAAGGCACAAAATCTACTGGTCACTACATTCTTCAGTCAGTCTCGCCCTACTCCTACTACTCTGGCGGTCCTATTATTGACTATCTTGCAGATGTCATAACAGATGCGGCCATTCTGTGTCTGCCACTGCCAGTCTTGCGAGAAATCAGAGTTCCGTTGTACAAAAAGCTGTTCATCGCTGTTCTCATCTGCTCGGGATTGTTCGTCATAGCCGCGGCCATAATGAGACTGGCAGTCACGCTAGGCTCAGACCCTTCAACAATAACAGTCAACCGATGGGGCGTGAGGGAATGCGAAATTGGGCTCATGGCCATCAATGCCCCGATCCTCCGCCCACTATTCTCGCGCCGGTTTTGGCAATGGCATTACCGCCCACCAGCACGCGATCCGAACCCGATGGTAAGCGCGAGAAGAAGCAAAACCACGATCGGGCATAGGAGGAGGGCGTTCAAAGAAGATAGCTTAATTGGGTGGATGAGCTCGACCAGATCGCGCATTGAGACTGCCGTTGGAACGCGCAGGCATGGAAGCCCAGTGGACGAAGAGTTGGGAAAGATTGCTGATGAGCAGGAACTTGAGCCTTTGGACAATACCAATGAGGCTACCGGTGAAGATCAGGAAAGCTACAAGGATGTAGTGGCAGCCAACGTGGAAGCTTCGGACTCAGCGAAAAATGATTGAAATCGAGATACCCGGAATGCATTGGAGTTTGTAATCATAGATTTGAGCCATGTCGATGAAAAGAATCCCCATCTTACAGTTTGATTTATAACGAAATGGTGAGACGCATAAGCCCCAAGCACTACTTCTAGGATCATTGGTTAGATTCAAACCATAAATTATTCACGGGGAGTTGCAATAAAGACGCATCTGAATCCATAGCTTGATGCGACATCAATTGGCAGGAAGCATTAATCATACAAGTATAAGCCCGGCCACTGACTCTATCTCCCGTTCAGTCATAATTCTACAGGGTTCGCAAAATCAGGTTTGCCACTCATTCGTTCGCTCATCATTCAGGAATTGCCAGCTTGTCTAGACAGAAAACCATCTCATTCGACCTATGCAACGCAACATTCATCACAACACACGGCCTCATCTTATCTCTCGCGAGGGACTGCAAGCCAACATCAACAGGATATAAGCGCCAATCTCTACTTCTTCTCATAATTCAAAGCTGCTCCAGTCGGTCGTCCAATCAATAAAGCAATAAGAGCGCCACAGTCCATGCATATCACTCAGATCTCGTCGGCATCCTGTGATCTAGCTGCAAACCTCTCTCTCAACGACAGGAACTCTCCGCAATGGTACACCTCAGGTAGTCTATCATCAGGATGGCACCATTCGTCACGGTTGCAGGGAACGGCGAATGAGCTTGTATCTTCGTCCTCGGTTTCCGCAGATTCGCCAGTTTGCTGAGAATGACGGAGGGGCCAGAGTAGAATCTGGCTGGGATAGGCCTGGCGACGGCTGAGCTGTTCATCTAGGTCAGTGGCTCCTACATCAAGCTCATCAACCGTGGGCTCAATGAGGAATCCATCGTCATTATAAGTAGCTTCATCGAGTGGCTGTGCAATTTGATGGATTAGAGCATCGATGTTGATAGATCGTCGGGGACAAGGGGAATCATGGAATGCAGTGGCAATGAAGGCGCTTCTATCGTCATCGGGCGAGATTCCGTGGATGCAAGTGGCCGAGGCCGCCTCTTTGTCCCAGGTCAACGGTATACTGCAATCGAGCAGGAGATTGCGATTCGGCCGGATAGGCGCGTTTTGAATTGGATCGAGCAAGAAGTCAATTGAGCCATCCTCATCAGGTTCGTCTTCCTCCGGGATGACTGAGAGGGGGGTGATAGGGCCAGTGATTGTGTTTTCGAGGTCCAAACACGTAGTTCGCTCCTCTGGGTCGACGTAGATGACGGGATCAGGGCTCGAGAACAGACTGTCTTTCTTCGAGGCCATTCTTTCCCTGGGAGATTGGAGCAAAGAGAATTCTCCGAATAAAGAGGTGTCGTTCTGTGCCTCAAGAGACCAATCAGCCCATCGCGCATTGACCTGGCTTCTGGCGAGCTCTGTGCTTGCGGTTGGCCGGGACTGCCAGTTCTCCTTGTCAGGGATTGCAATCAGATCTTGGCGGCCTTTGCCATTTCCTGAAATGGGCTGGAGAATGTTGCCCTTGAGAGACGAAGCTCCAGCTTTCGCCGATTTGCTTCGCAAGGGGATTCTGCTGACTCTAGAGACCACGGGCTTACGCTTGATCTTCTTTGTCTGCAACGGCACGGGTATGGTGGAGGTGGCGATGGGAGATGGGTCTGCCGCTGTATCCTTTCGGATTCTCAAGGGTGCTGGCTTTGCTGAGGAGCACAGCTTTCCTTTCTTGGTCACACAAAGAGGCTCGGGCTTTGCGGACCTGTCGGCGTAGACGTTCTCTTTCGAGTCGAACGTGTCAGGATGTCGCTTGCGAAAAGAGACAAGTTGGGGGACGTCCAGCAGAGCGTCGATCTCCTGAACGATACCGTTGAACATGTCAGATACCTTTGACTCACGTTCATCGACTGCTGGAAGACTTTCGCAAGCGCCTTTAAGCTCCTTGTCGATGGGGCCTTGGTGGAATCGCGATGGAATCATCAAGCTGTCTTCGTCGCCGGTTGAGGTCTGCAGGCGGATATAAGTTCGAGGATAAGGAGACCCGCTACCAACGGAAATGACACTAAGCATGGAATCAGAACCTGCTTTGCGACTGTTAACGCCGCTTGAATGGTCAGATGGCAAAAATGGTATCTTACCTGGACTTTTTGTGCAGCTTCGCGCGAGTTCAACGCTCATGGCCGAGGAGGTGTCGCCAGTCTCTGACGGCTCCGACGAGTTCTATTCGCCGTACATGTCGATAATCTGGTCCAACAAATCTTCCATTGGATCACCGGAAGTATCTGAGTTCCAAGCATGGGGATCGCAATCGCCTCCGCAAGAGTTCTGGGGTTGGCGTCCTGGGTGGGTCTCGACGCGGCAGGTAAATCGTGCCATTATGAAAGGGGAGTACACCCAGGGTCGGCGTAGTGGACCAAGGTCGATACTCGGAGAAAAGGACACTGCCAGGTCTGGCGCGAAAGCAGCAATCCCAGCGCGTTGAGTGCTGCGAGAAAGGTCGATAATGTCTGCCTTGCCCATAGCTTTGACAGATGTGCCCTTGCCACGGCGGGTTTGTGAGACCGTGAGAGTTCTTCTGTGGAATGATAGTTCCAGAGACGCGTCGACGCGTGGGTTTTCTGGAAAGAGGTCAGTACCGCTACGCGTTCGTGTGAGGTTGTTGACACGATGATGGTAACCCCAGAATCGACGCTCATGGGTAGCGAAGTAAACAACTTACTGATTGGGCGGGCTTTGCGCGTTTCTTTGCGGCTGATACGTACGTGACGTATGCTTAAAAAGAATTCAGCTTCTTTTTGACTCTCGAGATGGCTCTGATTGCAATCTCTGAGTGATGCTGGGCTGATGAGGGCGCACTATCGACTCTTGTGCGACTGTCAAAGCGACAGCTTCGGAGAAGAAGGAGAAAAACAGAAAGCGCGCGATTAGTTGCGCCTGGGTGGATTTTGCGATTGGTTCTGTTTTCAGGACGAGAGTGGTGAGGTTTGAGAAAAGAAGAATCGCGATGTGGAGGAGATGAGAAAGATAAAAGGCGAGGAGGGGTGGGAGGGGGAGATGTAAGTGACGGGCGTGTGTAGGTGGGGCGAGCAGAGTGGTTGCCCTGGGCATGAGGCAGCACCCAACCCGACCTTCGGCCACGAGAGAAGACGCTGATCTCCATGGAAACGACCGTAAACATGAATAGAGCGTATACCTGACGCGCGAGAAGACTCCTAGGGTGTCCACGGAAGTAAGACTGGCGCGAAATTTGTGGGCGAAGGGCGCAAACTGGAGCTCGACGTTATTGTGCCCCTTTCGTCGCAGCGAGATTTACTATTCGACGTAGATTTGATCTACTTTTCGATAACAGTCCCGTATTAATAGCTAGTTGCGTGTAAACGTCAACTTACGATGTCGGCTCTTGTTCTCGTAGGAAAGAGTTACTAGCCTGGCATATGAGCTGAAGTCTGAACTGCTTTTAAATAGAGATCGCCTAGTTTTCCTGTGTCTATGTGGCTATATTTCCTGTGTACTTGATCACTACTATTGAAATGGTCGTAGGCCCGGCGGCCGAGAGCTATACAACGCAGCGGCACGTACGCGCCCGAGGGTACGTAGAACTACTATAGTTATATAACTCTATAGTTTTAAGGCCTATAATCTTAAAAGAAAAAGGAAAGGACTTCTTATATATTTTATAGATCTAAAATAAAAAGAATAGGATAAAAGCTTAAAAATCTACTAAAAAATAAGTGAATTCTACCTCTAGTCTATGAAGATTAATAATAATATCTGAGCTAACTTCTCGCCTCTTAAAGGAGGGCTAGTAATCTAACCTCTAAACGCCGAAAACGCCGAAAAATCCAGTAGGCCCACTAAACCCCGTTCCACTATTAAAAAGTAATAGTAGTAATAGCGATAATAAGGATGAGGATAAGGACGAGGACAACTATAATAACGATAATAATAGAAGTGACAACGACGACGACGACGACGATAATAGTAGTAGAGTCATTAGAGTATAACCACAGGCAAAGTAGTCGCCCTAGCATAGGAAAAATAGGCGGTCTCTTCAAATATCACCAGGGTCGAATTAGAAAGGTCCGTCGCGCGGAAGCAGCGCGATATGGTGACCCGAATACGGCCGAAGCTTTCTTAGTATGTTGCGTACTTAGAAAAGGACCATCGAAATTATACCTGATAGGAATTCGATATCCGGATGGATCTCTAATTGGGACGGACGATAAAGAACGTCAGAGACGCCGACATGGGCCACAAGGACGGCATCGAATATCAAAGATATGCATGCAGTGGGCTCGGCTTTGGGGACTTGTCACCAAGAACACTGTGCTTCACGAAATTGGCTAAATGTTGGTGACGAACACCTGTCTGATTCAATGATGAAGCTCGTACCACGCAGACAGCCTAATTGTTCAGCGTCTATGCCAAGCTGAGAATCCCTTACTTCTAGGTGACACGCGCAGACGCAAACAAAAGCATTGCCTCTTCTACATTTGCCCCAGTTAAAGTCAAACCCCAATCTCAGTTACAGAACAAAGTCAAATGCGCTTGCTCATACTCCAACAACAGGGCTAAAATACCACCATTTTACATATCCGTCACCCCGACACCGATAATTCAAGTACTGTCTTGTATCTTTCCATCATGAAGGACCAGCGGGCCATCAGATCCACGAGATCGTATGCAGGATCTTGAACAGCTCAAAATATCGTGGCGGCGAAGACGGGCTCTCTGTGAGCGCGTAGATGAAGGGACTGACGGTCTGGGGCTCTGTTTGTCCTTAGAAAGAGCCGCCGCAGCATCTTTCGACTCGGCTATGTGAATCCACTCGGCAACGTCCAGGCAAGTAGTTGTGTAGGGTCTCGGACGGGCCGGAGAATCATCGGATGGCTCAAAGGACAAGACTTGAGCGTCTCGGACGTCTTGTCTGCCGTGACTGATCTCGTCGCTGTGACTTTCCTCACCGTCTTCCTTCTCCTCGCTGTCTTTCCTCCAGTCCTCAGCGCTTTCTTCGTGCTCCATATCTGCGTGGAAGCGTTGGATCAGGGGCTGGCTGGCATAGTCGTTGTAGTTCATGACGTTCTTGTGCGTTTCCTCGCGAAGCATGATGTCTTCCCCGTCTAGCTTGGCGCAATCGAGGCCAGAAGTCTGGTCATCATCTTCGCGGAAGCGTTCCAGCATTGTCATGGAGGCCTCCTGGGTGATTTCTCTTTGCCAGCGAGTCACCGAAGCAGGATCGAACTCTGACTCCTAGTCATCGTCGTACCCCTGTCGATCGGTTCGGATGATCTCGCAAACCTCATGTTTGGCTAGCGTCACATTGAAGCTCTCGCTGTGAGTGTCGTCGAATGTGTGGGCACGGGGTGACATAGCCGATTTTGCGATGGTGCATCTCGTGAGTTGCGGTATGAGTTTCTCGATAGTCACTCTAGAGAAGGCAGTCTTCGCAACACCAAGCCCAAGGCTGAAGACGGATCCTGACGCACGATCATTCTTTCGATCGGGGAGAATTGTCTTTGCGATGTGACCAATTTGGCCCGAGACAGCATCTTTGATGAAAGGCCAAAGCCCATGGTGTTTGATCACCCCCAGCGGTGATTTGTAGCAGGTCATCACTATTCACCAAGTACGTGAGCTACGAAGGGGAAAGGGAGCCCCATCAGAGCGTGTGGGAGTGCGATTATCGAAATAATCGCAATTGTATCAGAACATACCTCTAGAAGTGGGCGTCGTTGTGCTCCAAGAAAGCATGTCGTCAGTTTCTCGGAATTTCTGGTGGTGTAAGTTACACTGCTGGATGAAAATCTTGGACCTTTGAGGAGAATCTCTAGAGAGTAGGGATAGATGTAGGAGGATGGACAGAATTTGGGCCCGGGGGATGGGAAGGTATGGCTTATGAAGGGTGGGCAGACGAGGCAGCTCTGGTTGCTATGGACATCGCAGGGTGAGGCACCCACCAGGTACCCACAACAAAATCTCCGACCAGAGCAACGACGGAGCAGATAAATGCCCTGCTCTACACGGTCAATCTGTCATAACGCCTAGAACAAATGATGAGATGATCTCGGCATCTGCAAATATACTTTTTCTCGAATCAGAAAACAACTAAGCTTGGGATCGGTGCATGAGCTTCAACCACATATGTCATGTGTTGTGACAAAAGTGACGATTGCGCTCCCGTACATGGTTCCACCTTTGCGACATCAGGATAGTATGGCTTTTGAGCAGATCAAAAGCTTCCTGTATCACAAGAAAGGCATAGACTACAGTGACGAGGCTGACATCAAGGTTAGCATAGTCACCCCTAAAAGCTTACGCTCTAGGGGTCGAGCTAGATTAAATCATACTGTCAGAGAGGGATGAGACGAAGAAGCTCAAATAGCATAACAGCCACTCACAGAAAAAAGAGAATCACGAAGATACTTGAGTCATTGAATATGGTGGGCCACAGGTTATGTAACGCGTGAATCTACTTGACAGGTCCAGAGTTACAACCTTATGGTTTACCTCATGTGCATTCTGTCAGCCAAGCGGATTGCTCGATCAAGTCTCCTCCATTCTGTCATCCACAATCACCGTTCTTCTTGTTCATATTTGTAATCGCGCCCATTTCCCCATACAGCCGAATATCAAACAGCTTCTCCGTGGTCTACTCATCATCTCACGCTGCCAAAGGCGCGCCATTCTGTCACAAACTCCAAGTCCCAACGCAGCACGTCCAAAAACACGAAACTTCTCAGCAAAGATAGCGACTCAACTGAGACCAAAGCAACATCACAGCCATTCCATACCGAATTCTACTCCAAGCACCGTTCTTTCTTCCCTCTACCTCAAGCATTTGGCATGCAAACATCCGTAACTACAATAAGCTGGAAAGCAATCATCGATTGCAGACGCCAAGCGCACCATTCATCAGAGTACAAAACCAACCCTTTTGGACCACCCAAGATAGGTGGGAGCACACAAGTCTGGCGTGGGGCCAAACTGAGCTCAAGGGGCTTACGGTAGCCTACAATACACGCCAAGCGCTGTAATCTCACGTATTCAGGGGAAGTGGCTCACACGGCCCAGTCGTAGGTCTCTCCATCATCTGTATTTGTATCTATCTTCCTGGCAGTGGAGGCTTCGTAGGCGCCAAGGAGCGCAGCTCCGCTAGTCATGGTCCGCATGAAGCGCATGAAGCTGCTTCCAAGGGTGGCAAAGCACCATCTTTTCGTCTCCGCGGAGGCCTTTGCGCTGTCGCTGCGGATCATCTTGTACTGTCCCGTCTCGTAGTTTCCAAAGAGCAGGTTACGCGCAGACTTGGGAGAGGTCGCGAAGTCCTCGCCCTCGGGCTTGGGAAGATCTTCATAGATCTCCTGGATGACACTCTGCTTGGAGTACATCTCATAACCGATAATGTTCTTGTGGCCGGTCAGAGCCCAGTCTTTGAGATCGAGAACAGCGGTGTTGAAGCCCTCGTCAGCCTGGCTGTCTTCGACATCCTTGTACCGCGCGAGCTTTCCTTCGGTCTCAAGGAGGCCATCGAGCTTCGTGCCGCGGCGACCAGCTGATCTAAAGGTGGGGAAGGCGACAAGAGCAGAGTCGGTGTCTGTGCGAATTGTGCTGATGGATGAGACCTGGGAGACGGAGATGGATCTGACCCGCTCCTTGTTGTCGGCCTGAGTGGGGTTGCTGTCAATCTGGTATCGATCGGAAAGACCAGTGACGCCCTTCTTCCTCTTGAGGGTGCGAGCGCTGCTTTGTCCAGCTGAAGACGAGGTGTCGGCACTCGAGCCAGATGCGCTGCGGCAGTGAATCTGCGTTTTCTCGCCGGTGTTGATGTCGATGGACTGGTAGCTGACGCCCTTTGATGCGAGCGGGAAAGCTCTAGTTGTTGTGGGTGAGCCCGCGACGCGTGAGGACTAGTCAGCGTCTTGGGTCTCAGCCTCAATGATGGGAAAGGTGGCGTTGTTGGCACTGTCGGGTCGTCGTCCGTTTGTGCCAGGAATGGTAGTCAAGTGCTGGGCGCTTTGACTCTGCTCGGCGAATGCGATGATGTGGCGCGTCTTGTTCGCGTCGTGAACGTCAGGCATGGTGACACAAGCCAGAGGCTGAGAGTACGAAGTAGCCTTCACAGTCACCCAGGGCTTCTTGTAGGGCTTCCGAAGAGCAGAGCGAGTGGTGCCAGACATGTGCTTGACAGCGACGTCGCCGTCGACTGTCGTCTTATTGTTCGTGGCGGCGTAAGCCTGAGGGCCAAAGACGCGAACGAACAAGCCCATTGTGGAAGCTATTCCGAAGTCAGTATCTTTCACCATCGCGAGATTGGAGAGGGGTCGCGCTGGCAAGCGAGGAGGCGATCATCGAGAAAAGGGGCAGGCATGAACTTACTAGTGTTGTTTTTTTCGTGCGGATACACGCAAGTAATTAATCTGATTTGTATAACTCTTGATAGCTCTTGTTTTTTTGCGAAAGAGCACTTCGTCAAACTCAATCGAGGGGAACTGAGAGCGCAAGATAGAATACGTCGCCGTGTACGCCGAACTTCTCAGCCTGCAGGGTACAAGGGGGTCTTTTTGTATTTGATTGTAAAACGATCAAGATCAAAGTGCTTGTGAGGCAATTGGGTTGCTAGTCGCGTCGATATTGTGGATTGGCGAGTTATGTATGTGATGTTGTTGTGGAAGGGAAGGAAGAAATGAAGCTGGAGAGAGAGTCGGGGCAGAAGAAGTGGATGACCGTCGACGAAGAGTGATTGTGTCAAGGACCCACCGCATTGAATAAAGAAAATTTCCTATTTGGGATAGTCGTGAGGCATCAAGAGCGTTATTCGATGGGTGCCTTGAGAACAAGGAGAAGATCACGACGCGTTGCCCAGCTACCGGGCCCAAACCTCAGGCGCGCCTCGAAAGGATGGAACCAGTCAGGCATCAAAGATCGCCAACACGATGAGGCCATGGATAACTATTAGGCCCGGTCTTTTTCACGGTTTACATCTTGGTGTGGTGGATGGGAGAACCTGGTTGCTTTTTCTAGGCTTCGGCCACGAACTACTCATCAATCTTACTGTCATAGATGCCACGGGCTTATTCGGGTCATGATCTTGGAGGCTATCTACGGTTTCAAACTATCCCTCCCTCTCCTTCAATGAAACGTGAACCTCGCTCAAATTCTTGAAGGCGCCGGAGCTCTCCTCGACTTATCGAATCAGCCCAATCTCGAAATGCGGAAATGTGGAACAGATGTCGGCAGCGGGAAGCCGCTTCCAAAAAGTCACGCTTCAACCCGGACCTTTCCTCTTCCGCAGTACATCCAGGACGTAACTTCTCCATGCGCGCCATGTACAGCTTCCTCAGTTTCGTCTGCTCGAATTTCATCAAGTGTTCCCAATACAGAATAGCCTTCCCTTCACTATCCAGGCCGTCATCTTCCCAGTCGTCTCCATTGTCGTTACCGTAAATTTCGCGGACTGGTTCTTGGTTTCTCACCTTGCCATCCAAGAATGACGGCATTTGCCTGAGGAACCAAGAGGGCATTGTGGAAACGCAGTTCCAGTTTACCAAGCCAGTAACGTTTCCATCGTCGTCTATCAAGATATCTTCCAAGTCTGTTATGAGGCTCCAGAGACAATCTGTTGAGAAGATTCTGGATCGGAGAACACTATCGGAAGCACAGTTAAAAGCTTTTTTTCGACCTCCGCTATAGCTTCCGGTTCATCCCTATCTGATTCGGTCTCCGCACTTTCTGCTTCTGCGGTTTTCTCCAGAATGATGATGTTCAGGAGTGACTTAAGCCATTCTTGGCTGGACTCAAACGGCCCTCGAGGTATATCGTAGTTGTAGTTATTGCCGCAGAAAAACACGTAATCAACCACCCTGCCTGGTGTGACATGAAGCTTTGAGGGTGGCTGCTTATTGTCTTTGGGCTTTTCGAAGTCAAGAGTCCCAATGGTTTGAAACTCTTTCAATTTGGTGCCGGCATCAAGGATTTGCGCGTGGTAGTCGGCCATCTTCTCAGCAACAGCTTCCTTCTGCGCCATCGGCATCTTTCGCCAACGTTTGTGGGCTCGTACGCCGGGCATAAACTCCATGAGCATCCACTCGAAGCTGATCTCGTTATCACTGGAGTCATCAAATGCGAAGACTTCAGGGACTGGAATGCTGGTTCTGAGTTTGATCCAGCGCATGGTCGCCACCTCGCCGCGAGTCTGGTAGCCAGGATCAAGCGGAAGAAAGACGCGCATGATAGCCTTGCTGGTGTTGCTTTGAACGAGATATGTCTTCTTGCCACCCCATTTTCCGTAAGGTGAGACATCGCATCTTGAGTTCTCGTCAATGTTCAAATGTCGGCGGCAGACCTTCTGGATGGCTTCCAGTGAGGGTTCTCGTGCCCACTCAGGGCTCGGACCCCAGATGGCGTCGTGCTCCCATACTAGCCCGTCTCGGTCCGGTCCGGACATCTGGTAGACTCAGTGAGTAGTGGTGAGATAAACAACGATAATGAGGCTTTCAGGCGGTGTTGACGTGATTTTTGGTCGTAGGTAGCAATCGTGATGGGTGAAGTCGTCCGGAGGACAACGTTTCTCAGCTAGGAAAAAGAATCTGCGCGCGGTCTACACTTATAGTCCGCTCAGGATTTATCTCTGGAATCCAAACATCTCACCTCAAGGTTGTGGGGCCTTGATGACTGGACAAATGTTTTGTGTGCGGAGGAGGAAAGGTGAGCAATTGTCATACCCAACCGGCAAAGCTTCGGCACTCTTCCTGGCGTTCCACCATTTCTGAGGCGCAGTAAGCAGCCTGGGACTTTTCCATTGACCATGGTGAGATTATTACCTAAGTAACCACTCGGATGAGCAAGAATTTTGAAAAGATGCGCGCAGCAACGCCCACAGCAGGAGAGAGATTATTCAAAGCTGACATCAAGAAAACTGGAATAGAAAACCTCCGGCTAAATTTGACAAGATTTCTGCGGTCAGCATATTCGTCATCTCTTACGTTACTTGATAAGTTGATTCGCGTAATTGATTGAATGGTAATCGTCGTAGTCCCAGATCTTCAGTTCATTCATGCATCTATGAAGCGACCCACTTCCATTTGGTACAATAGGAAAATTATCGATCAGGGTTCTCATGTACGTCAATTCGAAGCCCATATCTCCGGAATGAGTCTATACCTGTACCGAAGCTTTCTAGTTCTAGAGCCTAGTTCTACTGTCTGGACAATAGCAACGACAGGGGCGACAGGGACGACAGGGACGACAGGAATAATAAGGATAACAGAATTATTAATTTTGAAAACAAAACTATTAGAGCTCATACAATACTCATCCGCCCGGATAGCAAACCTAATTCAAATAACAATGCAGCCGGAATAACGAGGAGACTAGCAATGATAGCGATGATAAGTAGATGCTCGATTCGTCTCGGACAGTATGAAAAGACGACCTAAGTTATCTCTCTGTGTTTGAGCGGCTACATTCTCTACTTGCTTGGTAAGTTCCATGAGGACGATTGGAATGGATGCAACGATAGAAGCGATGATGATGATAACAATAACGACGATAGACGACGACATGCGACGAGGGAGACGATCAGAGGTGACGATGGCGACGACGAGATGGCGACGACGAGACCGAGTGTATGCGCTGGAAATAGAGGAATAATCCCAGGATTGGGACAAACTACTATTTAATACGTTTGAACCACCCGATGGCCCGACTCATAGTTTCGTAACCCTTCATTGACTATCAACGGACGCTGTTAGTTACCGCTGGTCGTCGTATAAGTCCCGTGTGAAGCGCCCTTGGCACATTAAACTGCTGACCATCCTCTTGGCAACACTGCCTTGGCACTGCAACTGATCCTGCAAATAACGCCACTGCCGAAAAGCCAAGTTCTATCAGCTGCTTGGTACCTTGGCAACATCAGTCATCTTTCAGACCATTTGACAACCATCTTGTGATCCTCCCGAATCAACATAACCTCGATGTATAGATGTAGTTGAATGTGAGGCGAATTCTTGTTGAACTTTTCATCCGCCACAATCATAGATTATATGATCAGCAATTATTGTATGCTAGCACATCATGGCGTCCCAGTGACCCGGCCCAGGCTAGTCATATGCTAGCTCGAGCCTCCACCTGTCCACCAGCACCATGGTAAACCCCGATTCATCGTACATCCCTCGTGGTATTTGTTGACAACCAATCCTTGCATCGGAATTCAGCCTCAGCGATCGCTATCTGGCCTTGGAGCGCTGCCCCGCAACTCCGCCGGAACAAAACAAGATACCGTTAAGCTTATGGTTATCATTCCGGCCGTCGATGCCTAAAGAAGGAAGCCTTGCAAGGAGTCGTCGTCATCGGCTGATGGTCAGATACTTCAAAGAAGCACATGCGCCCGCCAAAAGGTCAAGGTCACGCTCAGCTGCAGTCAACATCAATCATACTTGCCATCTGTTCTCGGTCTCGCACGTTCCGACAGAGGCGCAGCTCATCCGAGCCTTTGGGACTGTCTGTCGCAGAGCCCTGCAGGATGCACGATGCACAGTGCAACCCCGTTCCGTCTCCGGGTCAACCGCCTGCCCGGTACGGAATGCAGGATCTGCTGTTTCGATCGATTTGAATTGAAAGGGTAAGAGCACCGGTTTTCGGCAGTCCAAGAACGCGCCTTAAAGGGGATTCGCCTGAGCGTCTTTCGGCGCGCTACGAGCTGAAGATGCCGACGCGGTGCGTCTTGGTGTAAGGGGGATCATCCCGGTTAGCCCTCCTAGCGCCGATCTCCCGCCCCCAACAGCAGAGGGCGATGTGAAAGTGTCCTTTTTTTGGTCACTTGAGACTGGGTTGCATTTCTTATCTTACGGATCCTTTGATGCTACCCATCAGCCCTAAACCTCGTCCTGCAGATCTTGGGCCTTTGAAGCATTGGATCAGAATGAAGCGTTTCTTGACTTGAGACTTCGACAGCGTGTTTCCAATTGTTAGTATTCCAATTACGAAATCCGATGTTCAGCTCTGCCACAACCGTATTGGGCAACACAGCTCGGACGAGAGTGTGCGAGCACTCAAGCCGCTGTGTCGCCCGGGCTGAGATGGATGCCAGAATAGCAGGCTTGCTGCACTTACGCGGGTTTGAAGGCCGAGGAAACATGGCATTTCACGGCATCTCCAAAAGAAGCGCTGACAGGTTTGGAATTATGGTATGACAGTCTGCTTGAATCATTCTAGTGCCCCCGGAAGTCCGTTTCAACGTTTCAGGGCGCCGTTCATCGTAGTCGCTCTCGGGTTCTCCACATACGTAAGTCGAACGGTATGACAGCCCATTCACGTTGCTGCACGAATGAAAGGTGCATGTTGTTGGAGTGGATTCCCTATTTCCGACGGACCCGAATACATGACCCGAATGTGTCGGGCTTGACTTTTCTTTGAGTCAGACGAAAGATCCTTCGTGCAGATACGTATTCTCAGCCGGCGGTTGAAGCGATTCCACAATCATGTAAGCGCACGAACAAACTCTAACCATTAGCAGACTCGTATCAAAAGCCTTCCCGCTACACCCGCTCTAGCTTCCAACGGCCGCTTGCCGTTCACCTGAACCCCCTTTGTGAGCCCCCTTTTGCAAGTAAGACTGGAAAATTTTGATCCGATGACGATGATTGGTAAATTCTGTTGGCTATAGCAGGCAGCGAACGCAGGGTAATTCTCAGAGGCAACCGCTGCGCGTGATGTGCAGGCGGTACCTGGCAGCTCGAAGCTTTCCGACGAACACTCTACGGCTCGGAAACCTTCATAATCTTACATCCATATTTGGAAATAATGTCAAATTTTCGTAACTCATCCAATCGACCCGGCTTCCGTCGAAAGTTACCAAACATCTGGCCCCAAATCGTCTCTACTCTCAAGCACAAGACACGAGCCTGGCGCTAAGCCACGCTAGAATATCAGGGACTACGCATGTGGCTGGCACCATTATTAGCCCACGCGCCAGGCTAGCTTAGAATCATCTGTCCTGTGCAGTAGTGCAGGCGCCGATCAGGTCAAGCTTGTTGTTCTCGTTACGGACATCGTCCAAGAATGGAGGCTCCCGAGCCGGCAGCCTGGGATGTGGGGATGGGGATCGACTCTAGAAGCCGTGAAGCCGGCATTGTGCAGTCCGGTCCCATTGAGTATCCGATCTGGACTCGAGTTATGATGAACTCGAGCCTCCTTCGAACAGGTATATAGCTCAAACATGCTCACCCCGTTTCTTGGCTTTTGGATCCATCATCAGTCACTCACTCAGGCTCTTGACTTCATTCTTTCTTTGGTCTCTACTTACATTCGTTTCTTTTGATCCACATTAGTGCGCCGCCAAGATGGTCGCCATCAAAGACCTTATGAAAGGCAGCCTTAAGTGGCTATTTACAGTCCAAGCGGCTCTGAAGCAGGACAAGACAAACGGGTACGCTACCTCAATCTTCGAATGGCAATAAACTTCGTCTAATGCTCCAAACAGAAAGTGCGTCCTCGGCACACCGAATGCCCCTAAGCTTCCGAACTTTTTGAACAACAATCCTTTGCCCAACGGCTTCCCGTGGGGCCCTCTGACAGCCGACGGCACGAACTACTACAAGCAGTGGCCCAACACTGGCGTCGTCCGCAACTACGACTTCACCGTCAGCCGAGGTGTCATTGCCCCCGATGGATATGAGCGTCAGGTCCTCCTGGTGAACGGAGCTTACCCCGGCCCCACCATTGAGGCAAACTGGGGAGACTGGATCCAGGTCACGGTTCACAACAACATTGACAACAACCCTGAGGGTACCGCCTTGCATTGGCATGGATTCCGTCAGCAGAACACCCAGTGGGAAGACGGTGTCCCTGCCATCAGCCAGTGCCCCATTGCCCCCGGCAAGAGCTACACCTACAAGTTCCAGGTATGTGTCCCCGCCACCCACGTGAGATTCTCGCGACTGTGAGATGCCCTAGTACTGACAGCTCACCTTAGGCCACCCTCTACGGAACCTCTTGGTACCACTCTCACTACTCTTCTCAGTATGCCGGTGGTCTTACCGGTCCCATCGTGATTTACGGCCCTGGAAAGTCTGCCTACGACATTGATGTTGGCCCCGTCTTCCTTTCTGATTGGTATCACAAGCAATACTTCGACATTATTGAGGATATCCTGACCCCTAACGCCTCTGGCCTGGTCTTCTCTGACAACAACCTCATCAACGGCAAGGGCAACTTCAACTGCTCCACTGTTGCTGCTGGAGACAACACCAAGTGCACCAACAATGCTGGTATCTCCAAGTTCAAGTTCCAGACCGGCAAGACTCACCGTCTGCGTCTCATCAACTCCGGTGCCGAGGGTACTCAGCGTTTCTCCATCGATGGACACACCATGACCGTCATCGCCAACGACTTCGTCCCCGTCGAGGCCTACGACACCAAGGTCGTCACTCTCGGCATCGGCCAGCGCACTGATGTCCTCGTCAAGGCCAACGCCGGCAACGCCAAGAGCTCTTACTGGATCCGCAGCAACCTCACCAGCTGCAGTCTGGCTAACCAGCCTCTCGGTATCGCTGCTCTTTTCTACGACCAGGCCGACCAGAACCAGAACCCCACCAGCACTGCCTGGAACGTTCCTGACCCCGGCAACTGCGCCAACGACGACCTCGCCATCACCAAGCCCGTCATGAAGCTCACTCCCCCCACCCCTAGCTACGTCAAGACCATGGAGATCCAGGTTACCCGCAACGCTTCTGGTATTGTTCAGTGGACTCTTGACGGCGAGGACTTCCGCGGCGACTTCAACAACCCCACCCTTCTTCAGACCAACAAGAACAACCTCACCTATGCTGCTGACTGGAACGTCAAGAACGTCGCCAACAACGGTAGCGTTCGTGTTATTGTCAGCAACAACAGCCCTGCAGCGTAAGTCTCGCCTTATACTCTCTAGAATCAACTTGAAACTAATGAGTTCTTAGTCACCCTATGCATCTTCACGGCTTCAACATGTACATCCTCGCCGAGGGCGATGGCCTGACCTGGGACGGAACCATCACCAACCCCACCAATCCCCAGCGTCGTGACGTCCAGCAGGTCCGCGCCAACGGCCACATGGTCATGCAATTTGACGCCCAGGAGAACCCTGGTGCCTGGCCCTTCCATTGCCACATCGCTTGGCACGCCTCTGCTGGTCTCTTCTCTCAGTTCATCGTCCAGCCCGACAAGATCAGACAGTTCCAGATCCCCTCCAAGGTTGATCAGGTCTGCAAGGACTGGAGCGCCTGGACCAGCCGCAACATCCCCGATGTCATTGACAGCGGTCAGTAAGGGGCTAATTCTTACTTCTTGTTCATATGTACCGATCTGTTTGTAATTCTCTTTTTCATTTCGTTTAGGCATTGCGAGCTTTAGATCTTGCATTTGGCGGGCCCACTGTATTTAAGTCGTGGAGAGCATCCATAGCATTTTCAATAAGAGTACATACTCTCCCAAATCCCATGTCCTTACTGACATTACGAGATGTCCTTGCTATAGAATTTTTCAAGTGATCCTAGAATCCGTGTCGCATCAGTCTCAGTATGAGAAGAAATAGATTATGACAGGTGTAATATCTGTCATATATAGTCACACAAAAGAGTCTTACTGCCCGGGCGGACACTTCTAGGTATCTGGGCAGATGACTATTAAATTGGTCTAGTATTTTGGTTTATATTAATAAAACTTAATCACTAACGCCCCTGTCGCAACCCTGTCGTCCCTGATGTCCCTGTCGTACCTGATGTCCCTGTCGTGCCTGTCGTCGATATTATCTATGTCCCTATTGTCGTCGCTGTCGTTATCGTTGTTATCCCTGTTATCGTTTATGCCTACTACCCGCCCGAATAGCATGATTCCACATAAAATTACATTTCAGCACAGTTTGGTGTACGACAAGCCTCAAGTTGTTGTGCCCCCGCCCCTAATCATGTACTACAAGTACATTCATGACGCCTCTCTGCCTGCATCATTCAAAGCCGAAATGCTCCTAGAAATATTTCCGTCGGGCCCTTTTTAATTCTGAGCCTCATACCCCGTTCAAGTCCTGCACAAGGCTCGCGATGCTGTCTTGGAACAAGAGCATAGCGTAAGCCCTGTGAAAGACAAGTGCAAACTCTGGGCCAAAGGGCTTGTTCACAGTAGGATTGCATGACAAGCTCTCGAATACCACCCGAATTACGTCCGATCGATTCGAGTCTCGTATAACACTGAACCTATGAGCCCCTGCAAATCGACCTTGGTCGCTGCCGTAGGCGAAGTCGATGCTGCTCCTCGTACTGGGACCGTCCCCAGCGTCCTTGTCCTCGTATTGAAGCTCAATGTTGCAGACTTGAAACGCGCCAAACAACAGCGAATGCAATGTAGGAAGCTTGAAGGAAGAAATCCCCGAAACTGTCCAGACTCTCTGAAGCTCGGAATTTGCCCCCAAGCCTTTTTGATAATCAGCTATATTCGGAAGACAAAACATCCCAACTCACCTTCGAACCCAGTGAAATCCCGCCCGATGGCTGCCAGCACTATCCTCTCTGGCGCAAAGACTTTACCACCGAAAAAGCCGTGGGTAAAGGCCGCCAAGATCCGCTCGTCTGTTACTTCTCTTGCGTTCTTCGGTAAAGTCAAGTCCACGTATCGTGAGTCGGATGTCGAGACATGGTCTCTCGGGTTGACAATATCTTTAATGGTCGACGATTGGCGATATGCATCGGAGATGTCGCCTTTGCTAACAATTCGACTTCTGTCGACGACGCGTGTCTGGCCGTACACTTCCCATGCGTGTTTGAGGGCGAATACAGCTGGAACGGCGGCCACAATGCCAACCATGCTCCTGGCGCTTATTATATGCGTTGAAATCATTTTTGCAAGTCAATTCCCCTTTAATTCGTGAATGAAAAGGCGTTGAGGATGACAGGATTCAGCTGGAGCGATATTTCACAATTATGGTAACCATACAGTATTCGCGAGTTTCTCCGTCACACACCCGACTCTGCCCGTGTCCGGTCAGCACCGGCGTCCTTTCGTTCTAGCGTCTTGTTTCTGGGCATTCAAAGGCTGTTAATCAGGTTTCCAGGCAAATACAGCACGCACGTTTTCAAGAACAGGCACATCGGAACGACGTGCAAATCATCACAAGAAAAGCCCACGATCGGGAGCAGGCATGATGCCAAGTGTGGTTTCTTCCGTATCGGTTCAACGGACGGGTCGGGTCCCGGCAGGCGGCGGCTAAGTTCTTTTCCGCTCATCGGTGACTTGGCCCGGGCCCCGCCCCCACTAAAGAAACATCCGGGACGCTTGCCGCCACATGCCGTATCGATTTTCCTCCTCGACGTCAAATGTCGTAGGAGCAGACGTGAACACCAACTTTTCCCATAGCACCGCGTTCAATGTTTTTCCGAGGCCTTGATCACTTGTCTTGTGTAAGCGACGTGTCGCACATCAGGACTGGGTGCTAGGGCGGTCAACGATGCCGCGACGACGACCGAAGCCGACACCATCTCCCGACGTGGCCCGACTCTTTTGAACGGTCGACTGTCTCTCGCGAGGCCAGTGTGCTGGAAATCATCTGAAGAGCCATGTCTAATTCATCGTCGTTCGTGTCCACATCACCAGGGACGTCCGCTTGTCATGGCTTCAGCGACAACACCAGTCTAGGGATGTCGCCCCCTCAGTCCTCGCCCCCGACGCCCTGGCGCGGCTTCAGTCCCCGCGCCAAGGGCTACAATCCGGACGCATCCATTGCTCTGGTAGGAATTCGTGGGACTGGAAGATCGACTTTGGCAGTCATGGCATCCGGCGCGCTCGGATTCCGTCTCCTCGACGCAGATCAGCATTTCTTCCAGGTAACAGGTCTTTCGCGGGCGGCTTACAAGGCGGAACACGGTGCTGTGGAATACCGGCGAGAGGAGTTGAGATTGATGAGGACGATGCTATTCGATAACCCAACAAGAGCCGTCATTGCGTGCGGGCCTGGAGCTGTGGAGGGTACAGGCCAGACATGGCTATCTGAGTACGCCCAGACCCACCCAGTCATCTACGTCCTACGAGACGCCGAGGAAATCAAAAGACATCTACGGGTATGGGATACAGAAGCCATCAGCCGCTTGATATACTTGAGCGGGCCCACACACAGGTCGCTCTCTAATTTCGAGTTCTACAACATCTCGGACAGCTACGGCCAGATAGCTGATCATGCTTCTGGATCTGGGCAGCAGTCTCCCAGATCACTAGCCCTCAAGCGGGTAGAGCACGACTTTCTTGAACTGCTGTTCCGCATCACCAACCGCGACCATCACGAATCAGGATTGTACCACGTTAGCCATGGCACGCCAGCGTTAGCTCCAGAACACAGACCTTTCACCTACTCCCTGACGTTGCCGATGATGGATGTGGACAACGCAGGACCTTTGCTTCGAGACATCAACACAACGGCTGATGTTGCAGAGCTGGTGATATCACTACGAGAGATGCGGACCAGATCATCCAACTTTGATGAGCCGATGGCCAATTTTATCAGCCGGCAGTATTATGCTGTCAAGCGATACACACGTCTCCCTGTAATATACAACGTTCAATTTGACGACTCCTGTCCGCGACAAGACCTAATCTACTATCTCCGCCTCATCGATCACGGCCTTCGACTCGCACCGGAGTATCTTTGCGTGGACTTGAGCTGTGGCGAGCAGATTCTCAAAAGCATCATTGCCGCCAGAGGAACGGCGAAGATCATCGGACAATATACCGATAACACGGTCTTAGAACACGGCTGGGACAACCCAGCACTCACAGCCCACGCACAACTTGCGGAACGCTTGGGTTGCGATATCGTACGAATATGCCGAGAAGCTGAGTCGACAACAGACAACTTTGCGGCCAAGTACTTCATTCAGAGCAAGTCAGCAGACTTTAAGATACCACTCATCGCCTATAATACCGGTCGCCTGGGGCGAATGTCCTGTTACTTGAATCAGGTATTCTCACCAGTAACCGACCCTCTGCTGAGGTCCATCACCTCATCACCTTTGAACGATACACTTCTCACCATCCAGGAAGCCCAAAAGGCTCTATACTCTTCTTTCCTCCTGGACCCCATGTATTTCGGCATCTATGGCATCAATGTGCTGCAGAGTCTATCGCCGGCAATGCATAACGCTGCATTCGAATCATGCGGAATGCCTCATGAGTACAAAATCTTTCAGCACCCTACAGTTAACCACTTGAGACACCTGATATCGGACGAGAACTTTGGAGGAGCCAGTATCACTGCCCCGTTCAAGAAGGAGGTATTTGCACTGGTAGACCTGACAAGCCCCGAGGCGCAGGCTATTGGTGCCGTCAACACATTGATACCTCTCCGGTCAGCAAGCATCGACTCTCTGATCGACAGAAACAGAACGGGCCCCGTTGCGGCTCTTTATGGAGACAACACCGATTGGATTGGTATTCATACATGCATACGCCAGCATCTTTCCCCGATCAATGGTGTGAAAAGGCGAACGACAGCCCTCGTGGTCGGGGCAGGCGGTATGGCGCGGGCTGCGATGTACGCTCTGCTTCGTCTAGGGGTCCGGAACATATTCATACACAACAGGACGCTCAAGCATGCCGAGGAGATGCTCAGGCACTTCCAAGGGTATTGCTCCAAAAATGGGAGAGGAGGTCAATCGCGGTCGTCGTCCCGAAGCTCAGCGAACAGCGCGGAAGGAACACCCGACAGTACCACCGACATTACTGCCATGAGTTTGCTCTCGTCCAAGTCAGACCCTTGGCCAGAGAGCGTTGATCGACCTACTATCATCGTTTCCTGCATTTCGACGTTTGCAAAAGACGGCCAGCCATCTGCAGACACGAGTCTTCCCGCGGACTGGCTTGCTAGCCCGACGGGAGGTGTTGCCATTGAGGTGAGCATGTCCTGCAAGTTCTGATGATTGACCAACTTCTGACATCGTGTGCAGCTATCGTACATGCCGTTGGAACCGCCCTTACTAAAGCAGGTTCGCGAAATGAGCGATCAAGGTTGGATCGCTGTTGACGGACTGAAGGTTCTCCCGGAACAGGGAATCAAACAGTTTGAGCTCTTTACTGCTCGGAAAGCACCCGGGAACATCATGAGAGACGAAATTTTGAAAGCATATAAAGTAAGAGGCGGTAATGGAGCTGAGTGAGCACTGTACATCGGACGGAAAACTAGACGATCAAGATACCAGTATCAATGCATGAATGAGACGATGAATTCCATACAGATGATGCCGTCTCTTGGAGGCTCTATTATCATCGAGTCGCGAATGAAGGTCTTGCGTCACGGAATGAGCAAAATTCTCGGGTGACGCTTGTAATCGAATTATTGAATTCACGCTCCAGGTCTGTCGTGATTCTTTTGGAATACAATATGAAACTCTTCGCTGATGTCGAATAACACGTCACCTGAGTTGATGTCATGTGGAAATGGCGGAAGATGTCTCTTCCGTTGTAGCAAGTAAGACTTCCCCCGTCAAGGGTCTCGGCGGATGATAGTATGACTTGGCTCGCGGCCATCTCCTTCCAAGAATCCAACTCGCCCTCGTTCAGCTTCCACCTTATGATTTGAGAGCTTGCTGTGAGTTTTTGAACAAGCGCTAGCAGTATCTTGTTGGTCAGTATCCGGCAACAACCTACTGGCTCTTGCCCATCATGAACTCAGATGTCTCTTCCCGTGAGGGACCAACGAAGAACTTTTTCATATTCGGGCATAATATCTCCCATACTCTTTCTCCAACGCTGCACAACACTGGTTTCAGGGAGCTCGGCCTACCTCATCACTACCAGATCCACCAGACAGTCAGCGTGGATGACACAATCAAAGACATCATCCAACGAGACGACTTTGGCGGCGCCTCCGTCACGTTCCCTCACAAGCTTCAGATCGGGAGACTGCTAGACTCGGTGACCGACTTCGCCGACAAGATCGGGGCCGTGAACACCGTTGTCGTCGACACTGACCCGACATCCGGGGAGCGACGGTTGGTCGGCGATAATACCGACTGGCATGGAATCAAGAGATGCATAGCGAAGAGCGAACTTCAGGATTTGCAGTCGTCCGCTGCTTTGGTGCTAGGCGCTGGTGGAGCAGCCCGTGCTGCCTGCTTTGCAATCCAAGAGCTTGGGATTTCAGAAGTTCTCATCGTCAACCGCACAGCATCGAAAGCCTACGATATGGCGATCAACTTCCCAGGAATCAAGGAATCTCATGTATTTGAGACTTTGGAGGAGGTTGTCGCAGACAGACAAAGACTTGGTGCTTCTATCAAACCGCTCCGAGTTGTAGTCGCCTGTGTCCCGGCTGATGACCTGGGGTCGGAGAAAGTCCCCGCGGCGCTGTTCTCTGGGGCTGACTCGGGGGTTCTTGTGGAGATGGCCTACCGACCTCAGGTCACAGGAATGATGTTCGTGGCATCTCTACACAAAGGCTGGAGGGTATTCAGAGGTGTTGATGTCTTGGAGGAGCAAGCCTATGCGCAGTTCGAGCTGTGGACGGGGAGAAAGGCGCCTGTGGAGGTGATGAGGGCGGCAATGCAGGCGAAGATTGAGGAAAATGAGCAAGCAACTTCCTCGAAGTAGAATTAGACGATATTTAGACAATCGGTGCGTGCTCATAGAACTAGACATTTGCTATTCGGGCGGATATTAGTTGTAGATGATGATAGTGACGACAGGGACGACTGGAAATGACAGAAATTGCGACGATAGGGGCAATAAATATCAGAAATGATTCCGGATAGCAAAATTCTTCAAGGACCAGAACGAACGCACATCTTACTCGGGTGCGACGTGTCACGTTGTCTTGTACCCATAACGTTCATTTCGGAGGTGATCTGGAACGGCAGGTGGAATCTCTCTATCCGTGCATCAAACTTTAGGGGATTAAGTCTCATAGGTCTATTTTAAATATCGATATTCTTGCCATCAAGCCAGTCCTTTGCTTGCCAGTAAAGCAGATCGTGTTTCTCGAGATTCCGAGTGCCAACATGTCGACGATGGCCTGGTAAATCCAGCAATACCTCAACGCCCATCGTAAGCTCTTGGAAATAAGCAAGATACTTGTATCCGGGAGGATATTTTGATAGCTTTTCCTCGTCTATCTTGGGGAACTTCGCCGGGTTCGTCGGTATCACTTTGTCCTTCTCGTACCAGTGCCTCACAAGGCGCGCACCCCAACGGTCGCCCACCTTCTCAAAGAAAAAGCAGAAGCGACAGTCTGCCTCGACATCAAACTCCGTACCGTCGAAATCGAAACGCTGCGTGATAGTCGCTTTGAGTTTGGTGACAGCACGAGTGGCCTCTGGGTTGATGTCTGTGCTGCAGCCGTGGCACCGGTGCATGATGAATGCCCCTTTATCCATTCCTGCCTTCGACGCCGCGATGAAGTCTGTGAAGGGAACTCGACCGGACCAAGTCGTGTAGACGTATGCGCCCGGATGAAAAATCGACTCGAAATTTTCCCATTCGCAAGCATCTCTGCAGGGGAATTACAGGTTAGAACAGGGATTGACTAGCGTTGGTCATTGAGCTTCATACCTGTAGGATGGCCAACCCTCCGCAAGCTCTCTCAGTTTTAGCCTCTCCAAGACGAGGTGGTCTGGGCCATTGTTGCGAATAGCATTCTGAGGGCGTGAGCCGGCTGGGAGGCTGTGCAGATCGGTCATTTTGAGAACGATGTCAGATTTGCGAGTTGAATAGTTTTCGAGGTATTCAAAAACCAATGCCACCCAGAATATTTTGCGGAGGACGCAGATAGCTTCAAATGTTAGCCTAGCATTGCAACAAGCAATGTTAATGGTGCCTCGCTGCTCGGCAGCATCGGATGAAGCCTTTGCCGCTCAGTGTCCCCGCGCTGCTTCCCCGCGTCCCCGCGTGAGGGGTAGATGGGGAAGCACTGTCTGTCTTTCACGTCAGGTTATTATTATTTTGCAGCCTTGATACCAGCAGAAAGATCTCTCCATAGTGAGGAAACCACTTCATTAGGCATGTGTTGCGGCAGCTTGGCCGTGGTTGTTGTTGTTGGGCCAGCTCGGTCTTGGCTCGGATGCCGGAGCCGAAGATCGGCGCCCTGAAGTGAAAACAGGCAGTGCCGGTATACTTGGTATGCTTGCATCACTATCTTTCTCCCTGCATAAGTCGTAGCTCTGTCCAATTTCTGTTCAGGAGAGATCTCGAATTGCCAGTTCTGACACCAATCAGACAATGCCAGCGTACTCTTGTGATTATGTTGTTGGTGACAAAACTGGACTTCTAAAAGACCAAGAACCATGACGTGCGGATAGACTTGTGCTGTTCGTGAGCCTGGTTTATTTACCTATGCTGGATACATGACTCTGGAACCAGCAAAAGATGGCGACCACTCATACCTGTAGCGTCTGGGCTCGATTTGTCCCAGTGATTTCATCCCATCTTCGCTGAGAAAGTCGCCGACACATTGTTCTCGACGCGGAGTATGCGGACATAATTTGGCGTCAAGTGGAGATTGCTGACACTATCGGCCTATTTCTCCGTCAAGCGAAACCCCCTGCGAACAGCACGTAGCACGCCTTCGACGAATCACTGACCCGCGTACAAATGCTTATTCAAATCAGTAAGGTGTAGCCGTGATTACATATCTCAAAATAGGCCAACGTAAGCGACGACTCGTTAGACTGTTGAGCACAGACGGCGGAGGAGGGCGGCAAAGATCTTAGCCGCCCACCCACGTTTATTGAGATACCCGCAGTATCTACACATTCATGCCAAAAAGGTCCATTATGCGCACTTCAGGGTATAGTGTAGCAGGGCCTGCCTCCCATAGCGAAACCGAGGCTCTAATCAGGGCTTGGTTTGAGTAAGGGACTGTCTTTGATTGAGAGCTGGTTCGTCCAATGAAACTTTGCATTCTCAAACCCAGTCTTTCTAGCAGTATCCTCGATAAACGGCACCCCCTTTAATGCAATTGAGTCCGATTCAGGTCAAGTGGACCTTAGACACTAGCAGCCTCCCGTCTTGCATCTTCCTGCCCATGGCAACATGCCCGTCGTCCCCATTATGACGATTTGGTGCTCTTCCGCTTTTCGATGGACTTGATCACAAAATTTGATGTCAGCTTTGTAGCTGCGCGCAGCATGTCACAATGAGTCCTCCCCGCCGGCACCGGACTTCCGCAGGTGACGATGATCATGAGCGACCTACCAGCACTCGAAAGGCGAAACGAGCCAGGACAGATGGTGAAGAGTCCGACGATGCAACAGCCCATGGCAAAACTCGAATGCGAGTCACGCGAGCCTGCAACGAGTGTCGAAAACGAAAAGATCGTTGCGATGGTGGCCGTCCAGAATGCCGACCATGTCTAGACGCAGGGCGTTCTTGCAGCTACAACCCACCGAAGAAACGTGGTCTTCGAACCGGCTATGTCCGGGCCTTGGAAATTCTCTTGGGCATGATTTTCAGCTCGATAGACGAGTCTGATTCCTGGATCTCTGCTTTGCTCGATGGTCAAGGCTGGAAGCCGCCCTTCCGTCTGGCAGCCATCGGGCCCACCCTGGTCGAGGATGGAGACGCCTGCGAGGGATTCGTGGACGCCTGGAGAAAGACAGAAGTGCTGAAACATATCGAACAGTGGCTCTCTGTTGCGGAACCATTAGAAACCGACAATGACGGCAACCCCGACAAATCATTTGAGTCCCGAGTTAAAGAAGCTATCCCTCTAATAACAAAGATCCGGGGCGAACAGGAGAGCCAGAACAGCGCGACAATTGACATAGCAAGTCCTATGAACACGAGCACTACCTCCCCAGCGCGGAACCCTAGCCAAGATATCGTCACAATCCCTAGCACATCTGACTCCATTACACAAGACGCCGAGAACAACATCAACTCAATTCTGATGGCCACTCAAGTCTTCTCGCCCTTGAGGGATACGACAATGCGACAAGAGTCTTTGTCTCGGCCCCAGTCTGGACGCTCGGAGCTTCCCGACAACTGGTCCATCTTGTTGGATACCTATTTCTCGAACACGCACTCCTGGCTTCCGATCTTCCAAAAGCACGAAATTCTGAGGCTTGCGTACGTGCTGGAGAGTCGCGATAACCGTTCGAGTACAGCCGACTCGATGTCGCACGGAGATCGATGCTCCCTATGGGCGGTACTGGCATACTCTTCACACCTATCCAAGACCGAGGAGCACAGCACAAGTGCGGTAGCCCTACACGCTAGGACAAGGCATCTTCTCGGCGAAAAGTTGGAAAAATACGAGCTGGGACATATCAGAGCTCACATGATTCTCGCATTGTTGCACCTGAGTCGCGGCGACAAAACGGCCACATGGCTTGCCGCTGGGAAAGCAACGTATGCCGCCGCAGCCCTTCTCTTAGCCCCCGATACGACGACTGCAACGCAAGGCCAACTTGACGAGGGCTCCAAGAGGACTTTGGCATGCTGCTTTGTATTAGAAACTATGGTCGCCAGTTGGTTAGGTACGCGGCCGTACTTCAAGCGTTCGGATCTCGCCAAAGTTGGCACGCTAGCGACAGACTCTATGGAAGAATGGGAACCATGGCAGATGAGGGATGGACAAGGCCGCACATTCCACTCACACCACAGCCCGGGGCATATAATCAGCACCTTCAACCATCTTGTTCAACTCGCCGTGTTCCTCAACGACCTCCTAAGACTGCGCAATCAAGATGGCGAGAATGAGCGAATCCGCAAGCTGGATCGAGCTCTGAAAAGCTGGAGTCAGCAGAACAACCCTCAATGTCAAACATCTTCCGGAGCAGAGGCTTCGCCGCAGATGTTCAATCTGCAGCTCATGTATGCTGGCATCTTCGAGGCCGTGAGAACGGAACATCTACGACTAGCAGGAGACCGTCCTAGCTTTGACATTAATGGCAGTTATGGACGGATGGAAGAGCAATGCAGACTTTTGGAACAACGCATGAGGTCTATGGGAAATTTTTCTACACCCCCAACCGTTGTCATTCTTCTTTGCTGGTTTGAGAGATCGGTGGATTCTCAAGTCAGGGTTCAGAATCACGCCAGGATGAGAATGCAACTTCAGACGTTGCGGGTGTGCATCTCCACGACAATCGAAAGCTACCTTCAGACCCAAACGCCCCTGAAAGATACTCATGAAAGCGCATCGAATCTCTTTAATGCTGGTAGCATGTCCAATTCCTTCGCTCAGTCGAGTGGACAGTCGACCCAGTCGGCCGTTCATCTGGGGTTTGCAACTCCCGCCAGCTCCGGCCTATCTACCCAGTCTCGAGAATCAAACCCTTCAATCTTCCAAGGGCTGGGCGACCCATACAATCGCAACTCAGCCAAAAACACGCCAATGGGCCAGAGCAATCTCTTAACGACTCAGACTCAAGGGCTCATGTCTCAGCCACCGTCGATGGGTCCAGATATGAACATCGATCCTCTATTAGATGCTGTTTCGGCGGAAATGGACGACAATGAGCTTTTCCAAAGCTTAGCTAGCTTGGACTCGGCAGATTGGTCAGTACCTCCCGCCAAGATTATCTTCCGTCTTATCCCTGACAAGTCCGTAGGTCCACAAATCCTCCCGAGTTCATGGAGCACCTTGGCATCCCACGGGGCATTGCTTCAGATCTGCAATCATTCTTTGACAAGGACCCCGGGTGAGATCTTCAGGCCGCTTTTGCTATCGACGAAACTCCCCACGGGGTATTTACCTTAAGCGCCCTCCAATTGACCGGCATTGAAGCCGGCCCCGCGGGATACGTCAGTGAGGGGCCGGTACAAGGCTCTGCCGCCCTGTGACATCAACCAACCTGACCTTACCCGCCCACGCCACACAAGTCCACCCTGGTCATTGGTAACCCAAAGGGTCCAACATCGACTGAACACACACAGCACACGAACACCATCACCGAAGATCAACCTTCACCTGCTCCAACCAGAAATCTCCGCCCAACATCACCATGGCCGAATTCCGTCCTGCCCTGCTCTCTGCCTCCCTAGGTCGTGCCTGGCTTCATGACTTCGACAAGAAGGTAGCTGAAGCCGCCAAGCATGGCTTTGAGGGCATTGAAGTATTCTACGAAGACATCGAGTATCTTGCAAAGAAGCTCCACGATACCGACGAGCCGACCACCGACCACCTCCTCGCCGCCACAACCCACATCCGCAAGGTCCTCGATGGCCTGAAGCTGACCGTCATCGGCCTACAACCGTTCCTATTTTACGAAGGCCTACTAGATCGCGAACAGCACGCCCGCCTAATTGAGAAGATCAAGGTGTGGTTCAAGCTCGCCAAGATCCTCGGCACGAACACGATCCAGATCCCAGCCAACTTCCTTCCCGCGGAGAAGCTGACGGGTGACATGGACGTCATCGTCGGTGACCTCGTCGAGCTCGCGGACTTGGGGTTAAAAGAAGACCCACCGATTCGATTCGCATACGAGAGTCTCTGCTGGAGCACTCACATTGATACATGGGAAAAGTCCTGGGAGGTTGCCTGTAAAGTCGACAGGCCGAACTTTGGTTTGTGTCTCGACACGTTCAACATCGCCGGCCGTGTGTGGGGAGACCCAGCGTCTCCAACGGGCAAGACCCCCAACGCCGATGCCGATCTCAAAGAGTCGTTGGAGAGATTATTGCGGGATGTCGATTTGGCGAAAGTGTTCTACATCCAGGTTGTCGACGCAGAGCGTATGGAGTCTCCTTTAGTCAAAGGTCACCCATTCCACGTTGATGGCAACCCGGCGCGGATGAACTGGTCTCGGAATGCCAGAGCGTATATCTATGAAACAGATAGAGGGGCTTACCTACCGGTGGAAGAGGTGGCTCGGGTGCTAATCGAGAAACTTGGATATAAGGGATGGGTTTCAATGGAGCTGTTCTCGAGGACCATGTCAGAAGAGGGTGAAGGGGTACCGGCAGATCATGCTCGCAGAGGCATCGAGGCATGGAAGAAGTTTGTTCAGCGATTGGAGTTGAACAAATGAATACGAAAGTAGCAAACAATGCACCAATTCCCTCCTATGATACGACGACAAAGACCAAGACGAGACAGACGACAGTGAAGATAGCGAGCAGTTAAGAAAATTAGTCGCTCTACCCTAGGGGAAATAGGGGATCACTCTCTGAGATCCATTACAGCTTTCATTGGTGATGCCGCTGCATTCCGAAGACTCAGTCGCTAGCCAGATTTCTTTCTGCAATGTCTCTTGTGCTGCAAATTTAGGAGCAATCATTCTGGCGAGGTTCAATGAGCGGCCAAAAAGCGCATCCCATTTAGACTAAAAGTTGATCCCCGGGCTCTTATCGGCAGCCTCCAAGAGAACTTTCCAAGCGCCCTCCCCATCCAGCTTCTTTACCCTCTCCTCTCCAGCCCAAAGTTTCCATTGCTCCTCAATCTGGTACCCAATTACGTGAGTGCCCTCTACACAGGGCCACCCAAGAGACTCCGCCAACTTGATCGTCCGCGTTCTCCTTGGCTTGAAGCACATGTCCAGCAAAACACCCTTCTCGGGTCTGGAGAGAAAGTCTTCCAGCGAGTCCCTCACCGCAAGCTCAGAAGTAGACTTGGGCTCAAAATCCGGCACCGTTCCGACAACGTAGTATGGCGTCTCGAGCTTCTTCGATTCCCCCGCCGTGACGTGAATTATCCTCGGCGCCGGGGACAGACGTTGCGAATCGCGGATCAAATCGCTGACCTCTCCATCATCTCTGTTCAGGACGTAGATGACAGAGGCCTTGAAGTGGGTGTGCAGAGCAAAAACAGCCGCGCGACTCGCGCCACCCGCGCCGATGATGAGCGCAGGCTTGTTCAGGACTGGTCCCGGCTGGGACCCCTTTTCAAGCAAACAGCCTTTGACTCCGAGCCAGTCTGTGTTCGTACCACGCAATTTCTGTGCATCCGTAGGGTCACGGTACACATTGTTGCAAGCACCGATGGTCTCGGCCAGGGTATCGAGCCCATCAAGCCTGGGCATGATGGTGTTTTTGTAGGGCATCGTGACAACCAGACCCGCCGTGGATTCTTTCCGAGCCAGCTCGAGAAGATCTTCAATTGTTGCACATTCAGTCGCGAAGAACGTCCATGGCAAGTTTAGTGACTTGGCTATGGCATTGTGCATTGGTGGGGCGATGGAATGGCCGACGCCAATCCCAACAAGATGGAGGGTCTTTTCTTCGGAAGTCGGCGTACTGGATGCCATGGTGTACTCAATTATGATCAAAGGAAATATTCTCGAAACAACACTTTGACTACAGACATCAGAATATCCTACATGGAGGAAGCCTTCCGGATCGCATCTGAAGTAGCCTCACACGGCCGGAGCTGTAAACTCTACAGCGGCTTGGGCCGGAGAAGATCTTTGCCGCCACCAGCCTAGGCATCCTGGCCCAGCAGTCGCCACGTCAAGCACCTCATCATTCTGCCGCTTTCTCATGTTGGTTGAAGTTGACGTCTTTCGAAAGCACACTCGATATTACTTAGACTGGAATTAATGTTTTCTTCCGAAACAGGCAAGTCGGGGCGGCCTGGCGGAATCCTTTACCGCTCAAACGACAGAGTAGCGCACTACCGGCATTCCACTTCGAAGCCGAATCAATTCTTCCACAATTCTTCGAGGCACTCACCTAGCTCCATAGTTTTGCCTACTCCCGTCCTCCTTACCGGGTATGGCATGTTGGGCCGGAGTAACGACAGCTCCACCTCGGGCCCGTGGCGACGAACCGCGACCCACGTCTCCGGCGGTGAGCCACAGTAAGGTAGGGAAACCTTAAGACTGCCTTTGGAAGGTTCAAATAGAATGAATGAATCATTAACATTTATTAACATTAAATTGTACCTGGCAATAAGATAGTCTATCATTTATCTCTCTAATCATATATATAAAGTCATAACCCTTTACCGTAGCCGTCCAGTCCGTCTCAAGATGTGCCTACTTCCGCTTAACGCCCTGTCCCTTCGGGACTCTCACAAGCCAGTAAAGACCACAAGCTACCACAATGTTGAAAGCAATGTAGACCCAAAGCAGCCCAAAGTTCCTCCACCGGTCGTCATAGTTGATATTGAAATGTGCAAGGTAATCATCCGTAGTTGCCATACGACAATACCCGCATCCACCCGTCGATGCTGCATCGACAAGGTATCCTCCTGCACTCTGCACGTACGGTCCAAGAAAATCATCACAAGTCATGTTTGATGGCACAGGCACCTGTACAATCTCCTTCGCCGTGCACACAACCTTTGACCCGTGCAGACAGGTTGATAAGGCTCCGGACGCAAGGTAGGTCATGGGACTGACATAGTACATGAAATCGCTCCAGATGGCTGGCAGGTCTGCGCGGATGACGCTGATCCCGCAGAATGACATGCATAGAATGGCGAAGAAACTTGCGGGTATGCTGGCGAGGTCGGCGGTCTCGATGGCTACGATGGCGAGCTGCGAGAAGGTACTCGTCCAGAGGAAGAACATCCAGATGAAGAGGAAGACAGTGAAGCCGCGGATGCTGACGTCGTCTGGGGTGGTGTTCCGGAAGAACCGCGCCGGGTAGTACCAGCAGAAGAAGAATACGACGGCTGCTACGGTGTTCCAGATCATCTCTATGACGACGTTGGAGAGGAGATATGCTGGACTTGCGTTAGCATCATTATTTGAAGTATATGGCAGGTTGAACTCACTGGTCCACCGATAGACTCGAGACGGTCTCTCACGGACCTCGTAAAGTGCTCGTTGGGGGATGAACATGGGCATCACCTGCTTGCTGAACTCGTTGACGGTCGTCAAACACATGAAGAAGGCGTAAAGCTGGTTCTGTAAGCCCTGGAGACTGTTGTCTGACTTGAAGGTGAACCCGATGTACAGAGCCAGCAGGATGGTGAGAGTGAGCTTCGACCAGATGTAGACAGGCGACCGCCAGAAGTGCTTCGCTGTACGGGAGAAGACTTGAACGAACTGCGTCCAGAATGAGGTGACAAACTCGTGCTCTGAGGACGGGTCACCCTGGTTGGTGTGACCTTCTGCCAACTGGCGGAGAAGACGAAGTTCCTCCTTGACATCCTGGTACTCGGCAGAGGAACGCCAGACTTCAAACCAGTTTGGTCCGTCTTCGGAAAGCGTCGTGACCTTTAGCATCCATTCCGCGGGGTTGGCATCAGGAGGACACGGCGGCGCACCGTTGCGTTCGAGGTAGTCAATCATGATCCTGGCATTGGTGCCAATTTCTGCTTCAATGTCAGCTTCATTCCCTTCCATTAAACTGGGCGACTAACCTCCAAAATAGACCGTTTTACCGCCGCGCTGAAGCAGTAGTAACCTGTCGAAGCGGGAGAACAGCATCGCCGACGGTTGGTGTATCGTGCAGAGGACCGCCTGTCCGCTCTTGGCAAGCTTCTCGATTAAATCGCAGATGGCCCAAGATGTTTGTGAATCAAGGCCTGATGTGGGCTCGTCCAGAAATACGAGTAGCTGTGGGCGTGCAGCAAGCTCGACGCCGATCGTCAGACGTTTACGTTGCTCGACGTTGAGGCCTTGTCCAGGGACGCCGATCACTGCGTCAACGAAGTCGCCCATATCAAGCAGGTCAATCACTTCGTCGATATAGGCCAGCTTTTCAGCCCTTGGGATCTCTGCGCTCTGCCTGAGTAACGCACTGAACTCCAGCGCCTCGCGAACCGTCATGGTGTCCATATGCACATCCTGCTGCTGCACGTAGCCGACACGATGGGGGAAAGATTTGTCGGTAGGCTGACCGTTGACCATGGTATCGCCGGACAGAACACCCATCGTCACACGGGTTGCCAAGGCATCTAGCAAGGTCGTCTTCCCTGCACCGGATGCCCCCTATGCCAACGTTAGCACGTCGTCCAGTATTGAAATGCAATTGCGCAGGACTCACCATGAGAGCTGTGATGACGCCTGGTTGCACAAAACCGTCAACGTGGTCTAGGATGCGGCGGTCCTGACCCTTGATCTTGACATCGTAGCAGATATCCTCCCAGTGGAAAATGGGCTTTCCGCAAGCACTTGGGCGTGGTCGGTGCTCGGCCCCCTGTTTCTCTGGACGAGAAAGATGCTCCATCTCGATGACTGTGGTCTCCTTGCGTTGATTTTCTTCATCCAGGTGGGCCTTGTCGTCAACGCCAGCAGGGGCCTTGCCGCGTCGAAAGACGAGAACCTCTCCTTCGCTCTTAGGTGGCTTGGCATACTCGGCAGTGATGATGTAGGTAATGAAGAAGAACACGATGTAGCCGCACAGAATACCGACGTTCCTGGTGATGTTGTTAGTTGATAATATCTAGGAGTGGACGATGTACGCACCTCCACTTGTGACTGTTGAAATAGCCAAAAGACTCTTCAATGTATCGATCGCCATCGATCGCATCTGAGCCAGGAACAGCTCCGACCACAGAGCAGGTTCGTCCGCTGAGGGGCAACTGATCGTAGTCAGGTCCAGATGGCACGAGATTATCGCACTTGAAGGTGCGCCCGTGGAACTCATTCGCCATCAACGCCTCGAAGGCATATGAGAGGGGGTTGATGTATCCCATCCATCGACTCCAACCTTGCATGTAGGAAGTTGGCACGGTGAACCCAGCGTACATCATGACTCCGAGGGTTACAAGTGTGACAGGAACCATGGCCTGGTGTGACGTTCTCGCGAGTGATGCCATTGTTCTGTAGATGCCAGACATGGCCAGTAAGACTGCAAAAGAGACCAAACAGAAGAAGAAGAAGGGCCCAGGCTCGCGATTCAAGTTGGCCATGAAGTAGAGAATGGAATTGAATGTAAAGACGTTGGTGATCTTGTAGGGAAGCTCAATGATGTAGCTGGAGATGGCCTCAGCAGATTGGTGATAAAGGGCGTAGCGATTATGCTTCTCAACGACAGGCCTTTGCGCATAAAGAGTGAGGACCTAGAGATTTGTCAGCTTCCTAGGAAAGTTGAGAGATGCAGGGGTCAAATAGACCTACTTCCATCTCACTTGCGAAAGCGTTGAATAATAGTGCGAAGAAAATGATGCCTCCTCGATAGTAGAACGTGCTCGAGTCGGTTTTCATGTTGAAAAACATGCTCCCCAACACGAATCCTACAATGATGTTGTACACGAGAGACGAAATCGTGAACCCAGGGTCGGCAAGCAAGCGCTTCCAGCCCCGCCAAAGACAAAGCCTCACTTGGCGAGGATACGTGATCATGTATGGAGACTTCATTCGTTGCCTGGGACTTCTTTCAGCTTTGATGCTTTGCTGAAACTCTTCAAGCCGGTCCTTGGCCGGGTGGGTCTTCTCGTAGGCTTCAATAGCGGTCATAAGAGCTGCTCGGTCCGGCGATGCTTTCCATCGAGCTGCAAATTCGTCCGGAGTTCGAGGCGTCATGTTCTCATAGCCGGGTCTGATGCGTCGTTCACTTGGAGATGTCATGGAGGTGAGGAAGTCGGGAGTGGTCTGTCTCTCGGGGCCTAGAGTTGCTCGGTTAGATCAATGGAAATGGGGATTGGGACGAATCTTGCAGACTTACACAGGAATCCCATGTCTTCAAAATACGATCTGGCTTGTTCGATCCTTCCAAAGTAAATCTGGCGGCCTTCGTACAGAACTGTCACTTTGTCGAACAACTGCAATCTTTTAGCAAAGTCGGCCATTCTTCAGCATTGTTCTGGGCTTACATCATAAGCAGATTGCGGTGCCTGGTAAATGGCTACCACGGCCGCCACATTTAATAAATCTGCTTGCGTCCGGAGGTTCTGACAAAAGGCAATAGCATTGCCGCTATCCAGGCCGCGAGTACTGTTGTCCCAGCACTGGAATTTGGCACCCGTCAGAGCAGCCTCGACGATGCTGACTCGCTTCCGCTCGCCTCCCGAAACCCCGCGCACAAAATCATCGCCGACCTTCGTGTTGATCGTGTGTGAGATACCAAAAGCAGCCATAAGTACATCCCGCATGATGCGAGCATACTGCTTGCTCGTGAGACCGGCTGGGACATTCGTTGGAACTCGGGCTCTTGAGGCAAATTCCAGAGTGTCGCCAACTGTGAGAGGGGCCAGATGCACGTCGACCTCGGCATTGTATAGTACGTCGCCGCGGAACCAGTCGTGCATGTACCTGGGGTTGATGCCTACAAGATGTCAATCGATTTCTTGACTCGGAGAGACAAGACTTACCTCGAAAGTTCATGTATGAATCTGTTGAAACATTGAGGCCTTCGGTCTGGCCAGCAAGTGTCCTGAGCAATGTCGAGCATCCCGAACCAGGCGGGCCAAGGGCAAGAAGCATCTCGCCAGGCTCGACGAGGCCCTCGAAGTCTTGCAAAATGTCGATTCTCCCCTTGGTTCTTCCAGTCGCAAGCCCAATGAGATTCGTTGCTATACTCAGCGCGATGTTGCCAGTGCTTTTTTGGTATTGGGTACCAGTGCTGTATCCGAAGACGTTGAGGTTCCTGAAGGCAACCCCCGTCAATCTGTTTGGTGTTGACGCAGGATCTGACTCGTACAGGCTTATGAAGGCTCTTGTCCAGGCTGCTGAGTCGAAATTAGGAGATGACGGGTCCAGATGGCTGTTTCTTGGCGGGTTGAGAACGTCATCTTGGGCATGGAGGCTCTGTGGTCTTGAGGTAGCTGTGACTTGGCGTGCAAGATTCTCAATCTGTCTGTGCATGTCGTCGGTGATTGTTGTTTCTGAGAAGTCAGACGCCCTGGCATTTGAGGCCTGAAAGTGATCGACCTCCTCTGATGGATGCATGGTTGCCCCCACTGATGAAGAGTTGACGTGGGGGTTCGTTCGAGGTTGGGAGTGTATCTATTGCAGTTGCGGTAGTAAGGTTTACAAAATGAAAGCAAATGTTACTTGGTCAGTTGAGTTGACCTAAACATCCGTTGGATTGATTCGATTCTTCCATCTGATTTCATGAAACCATAAACACTTATACAAACCGTTCTGAACAAGGGGCCGATCCTGCCGTCTCGGTCGTCCGCGGTGACCGGCATGAGAGCATTGTTCGCGGGCCAAGAACCCGACATTAGCAGAAGCTCAGCAAGCGTACAAAGCCACACAGTCATTAAACTCCCATAGGACTTTGACCCTGGGGCCTTCAATCTTTCCAGCCCCGTTGGCCGCGTGGTGTTATGAAAGAGGGCGAATCGGCCCCACGCGGACGGCCGCGGATGACCGAAGGACAAGCGGTTTATCCAACAAAGTGGGTCCACGACCACCAACGCGAGAACCCAACATCGTATGTCTTCAATTTGCTTGGAAGCAGTAAGCTGGCTCTGTTTGAGGTCTCTTGTGAGAGGAAATCCTTCGGGAATCCATGTCTCCGGGGTTGCGTCTGTAATGTTCATGGCACTTAGCCATCCGTCTCCATTGGCGCTATTGATGCTCCTTCACAACGGGTGCTTGGAACAACTCAAGAGCAGTCTCCTCCGCGGAAGATTTCAAGTGGGGTTCGCCCGGGGGTCATCAAGCAGCCAGTCTTCCGAATTTGGATACTTAGCCGCCAGCGATTGTGTCTCGCCCGAGTGGCGTTGTGTTTTCCTCTCTCTCTCACAGCAGCTTTGCAGACCCATCCCCAATCAATATGCCAACCGTCATTCGGCCACACCCCGAAGTTGTGGGCAAATGTGCATACACACCGTCTCCTAATCGAGACTTTTTCAAGCAGATTTCGGCCGAGGATCAATCTCGGGAATCGGTCCAAACGTCCGTGTCCGGCGCACATGACGGCACCATTGTAGCCTGCGAAAATGGATTTGTTTACTCAGTGCTACGCGCCTGGCAGCAATAATTACACCTCGAGCTGCGTTCCGATGATGTCTGGCTAGACGTGCTCGTCCAAGTCAGCTTCTTCGTCAATGGACCTGGCCGCGCTGAAGCTCTGCGCAACCACTTCGTCGCCCATGAGGGTCAACGCTTCCTCGTTGTTCGAATCGGATCCGGTCAAGCGGTTAACAGCTTCGACATGGAGACCATAACAGAGCATTTCGTTATCCTACTCCGCGAGCACCAACCTGGCCGACTGGATGCTGCCGACCTTTAGCACGACCTTGCCGCGTGACCGCTCCACCGCTGCTGCTGTATGTCTCGGGACCATGAAATGATACTTCAACTACGGAGCGAGCATTACCTGTGGATTTCCCTCTGTCACACTACTCGGTGAATTCAACGACTGGGTCGACCTGGCAAAGCGTGTTACCCGGCTGGCAAAGTTCAATACCGAGACGCTGGATCGCGATGGATCCTCTATTATCTATATCTGGGTGGTCGCGTTGTCTCGTCATTTTGGGTGAGTGGATGGTCGCCAGCTTTGATCAGCCTGACGAGGTCGATGCACGCGACTTCTGGACGCACGCCTGCCACTCTGGCGGCGCGGGCATGTTAGGCGGAGTCGTCCACCTGTCTGGCTGGTTGACGGCCTTTTGCTGGTGGCGAGCAGACAGGGTCAGGCAAAAGGCGCACAGTGACGAGGAGCTGGTAAGAGAGTACTCATGGCAGGAGAGAGACTGGGAGAGGCTGTGCTTGTCCGGGGTTGGGTTTCCGATTATCGATCAGGTGGAAATACCCGCCGGCCTCACGAGGGTTCCGATCACATTCGAACTTGAAGAAGAAAACCTTGGCAAAGAAAGAAAGGAAGACGAGAAGACGATGATACTATTAGCAGGGTCTATTGGCATGAAGTTGTTGGACAGTTAAGTAACAAGGGTAGCGCCGTTTTCTAGTTGGTGGCTCTTGAGGAGCGAGCCAAGCAGAGGCAAGATTAGTAAATTGCCAGCAGTCGCATCAACCGTCGAGGGAACCTTCGGCCAACCACGAACTGGCTTGGTTCCCAAACCAACTCGAAATAAATTGATGAATGTCCCCTCGAGAACGCGATATTCCGCGGCTCTCGAGATGGCCAAAAGAACGTGGGATCAAGTATTGAGAAGAAAAATACGTAAGGGGACGAGTAGGTTAAGCCTTGTCGCATATTCTGTACATCTGCTGCAATTATCTCAGTCAATCATCCATCTAGGCTATTATTGTTCTTGCAACCATTGTCTTCTCTGCCGTCGTCGTCGCTGTTACATATCGCTTTTATCATGGATTACTATCCGTCCCAATATCAAAACTCACGGGATTCTCAATCGGATCGATCTTGTCTCTATCTAGATTCTACCTATCATAGCGTCTTCACTAAGTCGTCAGCACCAAAGTCCATACTGAACTCATAACCTTGCCGCTTCCGAGACCCTATTCAAACCAAACAATTCCAAAAGCGCAATCATTATAGTCATCCTCCATAGTTATTCATCAAGCATTGAAATCATGTCCAGTCATCCTTCCAGCATTACGCATTCCCAGCCCACTTCTCGGCAATCCTGGAGGTGACGAAGATGCCCGCCGCAATGAGTGTGAATCCCGGTGCAAACAGCAGCAAGATCGCCACCACCACGACGTTGGCAAGGAACTCTGTAGAACCCAGAGGCGGGGCACGTCCGATGAAGCCGGGCCCGATTGTCCGCACGTTCACGACTGGCTCCCCTGGCATCTGCTTCCCGGCAGGGTAGTGCCCGCCCGTATTTTGCCCTGCTGGACTCTGAATGCCGCTGAGGGCGTGCAGCACGTCGGTCACGACCGGTCTATGCTCGTCTTCCATGATGATCCCGTCGAGCCAGGCCCGTATGTTTCCGTGCGGGTCGTCTCCGTAGCTGCGGGTCGGACTCGGGTGGTAATGTTGATTTTCCATGGTTTGATCGACCAATGTGGTTGTCGATCGGTCATCCTCGCGGGGGAAACGGCTGTCTTCTGTGATTCGCTTAGTATTTTGACCTTGGAAATATTTGGTCTGGGTACGGATTCTCACCAACGTGCTTCACGAGATTCATTTTTAACGATCAACTCGCGCACAAAAGCTATTTTGGGGTTGGATGAGGCCCGGAGAAAACTGTGAGAGGGAACCGACTGATTTTCTCTTAAATCTGAACTGCTTAGCTCTTGTTTTCTTAACACGTGCGTTGCTATGGGATGAGGAATGTGAGGGATAGCGGCATCACTGGAATGCTTCAATCAAACGGGGTGGCTATCCCTCATCAGCGGCGCCTTTTGCACAGTGAGACATGAGGAACCCATTTGAGTCACTTAGTGCAGATGAATTCTTCAAGAGTAATAGGGCTTTCTGTTGTCTTTGATTTGAATGGATTGAAGCCGCATGTGGTGCGATTCTTCATGGACCCGTCGGACACATGCACTAGAAAATGGATATGCAAGAGCCTTGCTTTTTATCAAAGACCGGTATTGAATAACATAGGCAGTCTTTAATTGTCGACTTACTCTGCGGCGACCTGACTGGCAATCGCTTCATATTATTTAATTACAAGTTACGGTTCCAAAGTCTACTCACCGTACAAAGCTGATGCTGATTAGCGAAATGTATTTAGACACACAATCAAGCCCAACCTTTACAGGTGATCTCAGATACCACCTTGAGTCGACAAAAAGGGACTTTGGTATGGTGATAGGGCTGAGGCCAAAATGCCCAGGCTGGGCGCGCTTCGACCAGTGAGTCAGCATGATCCTGCAAAAGGCACTCTCCAACCTCAACGCCACTCGACGTTTGCTGCGTCCCCATCTCACGCTATAACATCAAAATGGCCGACGAACTGCCAAAACTACTTTGGGCCGACCTCGCCGCCAGATTCACCTTCACCCACGCCAACCCTAATGCCAACGACTACAAAGACCTCTTCCCCCGCCTAGAACCCGAGCCAAACCTGGTGCCAGGCATCAATGACTTCATCCGCATCTTCACAGAAGTCATCGCGGAGCATTCCTCTCGCGAACGCAGCAAATACGCAAGAGAATACACCAGCCCACCTCACGACGAGATTCTGGTCGACGATGAGACCGTCAGGGAAATCAGCCCACTGTTCGGCCGGCTGCCTGGGTATGAGCACCTTGTCAACAACCCCAGCTGTCGCCACCGTCCCGATCCGCCGTGCAAATGCCTCGTGCCCTACAGCGAGCGCCGTACAGACGGTCTCCTACGACGGTGGGAGGTGAACCACTGTTATGAGTTTGAAGAGGTCAACGGCGCCGGCTGGAAAAGCTGGCAGTTCCTACTGACGCTGCTCATCCACGGCAAAATGGAGCCACTGCTCCGCCTCGCTGCAAATCCTGACAACGACTTTGACATATGGTCGACGGTATGTGTATGTCAATGTGGCGTAAGTATTGTGACCCCCGCTTGTTCTGAAAAAAGATTCCATTAAGCTCACCTAAGGTAATGTAGGCGGACGAAGGCAGTGCGCGCCATATGTACGAAAACGCAACCCTGGTTTTCATCTGTCTCCAGATCCTACGCCAACATCCGGAGACCTGGACTCGCTGCGATTATCGATTGACCAAGATGTATCAGAGAATGATCAGCCAGGCGACCGGCGGCGACGCGTACTCGCAGTTACCCTACCTCTCTCACCTGTACTTCCTTGGCCTTCCAGAACGCCCAGCGGGCCTGGCTCCGTACACGCGGATTCCCCAGCACGATGTGTTCAACGTCGAATACATGCCGCATGATAGTGACATCCGCCCAGTGGAGGAAATGCTGAAGAAAAGAGGGCTGCCGACGGAGCTCGTCGCGGAGGTCATGGATTTGGCTAATTTCAAGCCACGGCGAAGACTGAAAGTCGCACACGATCCGTTTCACCGCGATAATCGGGAGGAGCTGGACAAGTACCTGGCGGAGTGCTGGGCAGTGATGGTGCGAGGGGACGTGTTCGCAAAGGCATTTGACTGCGAGATGGACTGGGGCAACGATTTGGTGAAGTCATTCAAGCAGCTTTTCCCCGATCTTCGCTCCAAAAGAGTTCCCAAGACGGTGCGGTCAGACGACGCCTACGTTCCCCTCATTCATAGGCTGGTTTGCAGATCAGATCATGAGTAAGTGGTATTGACGGCGAGGAGACGGATTGGAGTATAGAATGGACATCTGTTCCAGCGATTTCCACTTATTCTTTTGGCTGCGAGATGAACTGGGGCAACAACTTGGTAACGAGTTGCAGGCGGTTTCCCTTCGGCTTTCGATCGTAAGGATTCCAGATATGGTGCGGTCTGATGACGCTCATGTTCCCATTCTTGATATGCCAGCCTAGTTACCAAAGCAAGAAGGATGTGACGGGCTCTTTCTTGCATGAGTAAGTTGACTTGTTAATAAGGTCAACAAATCAGATGGAAAAGGATGTATAGAATGAATTGTTACTCCCACGACTGAACACCATTTAATTGTCAAGGGTTCCCTCATTTCGTACTAATCAGTGCAGATTTCGTGAATTTGATGCAATTCCAATCCGGTTTATCAACATCCTTACTTCATCCCTCGTAACTAGTATCGTGAGTGTGGCTTAAGTTGACTTTTTTTCGGCTTTGAGTGGTCCTGCATACCTACTCTTAAACGAGTTCAAACCATGGCGAATGTAACACTGCACATGATCTAGAGGACGGGTTGCTCATCTTTTGTTTCTCGTGAAATTGTACGATGAGCCCCCCAAGAATAGGACCTGATGGTTACCTAGACTTCGCAAGTATTGCAATCCGCGCCCACAGTCCGCGCCCAAGGTGCAGAGACACGTCTGAAACAAGTAATGAATTATCTTCTTATTCCTTCAACATTACTGGTTGTTCATGGATGCAAGAAGCCCACATAAGGCTTCATAAGGCGTCCGGCGGGGCACGTACCTACCTAGGTATGGATAACATTTCCACCGACCAATGAGACCTGCGCCGTGCGATCATTGTCGTCCCCATGTCTGATCTAATGCACCTTTACATACGTTGTTGATGTTGGCCCTGGATTGGATCCGACCTGTTGCCGGACCACCCCATACACCAGCGAAGTATCTCGCAGAAACACGTCTTAATCCCTTAGCCTCTCTCCCCCGTTTTCGAATATTCTTATTTAAAAAAAAGGGATTATTCAAAAGAATTTAGATCATATTATCTTTACTTATTTTTCTTTTTAAAATCTAACTATCTATAAGTATCTTTTAGTAAAATAGCGAGCTGAGTAGTAGGAGACTACCTCTGTGTATATCACTCTTTTTAGTTGATGTTGGATTGGGTTCGACCTGTTGCTGATACCACCCCTTCACCCCACCCCCTTCGTGCCCCCGCACTAGCTCATCGTCAAGGAGTCAAAAAGAAAAAAGAAAAAAGGGAGTCGGCCGGCCCCCCAAGTATTTATTCCGCGTTCCCTACCCTTTGTTCATAGCCACTTTAATGAACAATCAGCAAACTCAACGAATGAATTTCATGCACGTCAATACTTTAAACGCATTTGCACATCAAAGTCTTTAAAAGGTTCATCAAGGAAACGATATTCGATGTGGAAATATAATCGCGGCATCAATGGTAGCGATTCAATCCCACAGGGGATCTCAAAAAGGGCGCCACTCACAACTGAACTAGTAGAACTGACCACAAAATCCTCCGAGCAAGAGTGCATCGGGGTTACGAATGACTCATTACAGCCGATACCGATGATTAGCAGTCATTCCCCACTCCTAGTATGCCATGGAGGCTTGGAACGCCATGCAACATCTGCGCCTTCACTCGTGCAAGCCACAGACGGTCAAAGCAGCAACGAATCCCAACAATCGAGAAAGCGCTCATGCTCTCAACGCCATAGAAGAGATGACGGGGAAGATGAGGATATGCCCAGCAAAAAGATGTCCAAAACCGAGAAAAGTCACTCCGCAGCTAGGAAGCTCGCTTGCCCCTTTTACAGCAACAGTCCGCGGGATCACCGAAAAAACCGATCTTGTGCAGGGCCAGGATGGACAAGCATTCATCGCGTCAAGTGAGTGCAAGTAAATTTCGGATTTCTCAATTGGTGATTGACATCTAGACTGTAGGGAGCACATACTTCGACAACACGCCTTGCCTATTCACTGTCCTCGCTGCTTGGAGACTTTCGACACAGAAACAGAATGCAAACGTCACCTCAGACAGGCTATCCTTTGCCCGCTTAGCGATTCAACTCCACCAGAAGGCTACAATAAAGAGCAAGAGGCAGCTCTCCGAACAAGAAACAGGGGCAATGCAGAACGAGAGTGGAGAGCTATATACAAGCTCTTGTTTCCCGGGGTGCTGGATGACCTCATTCCGAGTCCATGTGAGCCTTCTTTTCATGATCTTTTGCTGTATCTGAGTCTGATTATTTGCAGATTATGAAGATGATGACATGCAGCTGGAAAGGCTCCAGCGCCGGGAATTATATCGGGTTCAATTACACATGAAATATGCAGTTCCACGAATATTACGACGCCTCCTTGAACAAACGAGGTTCGCGCCCTCAGTCTCCCTCGATGGATGCCCCGACGCGCACGCAGCTTGTCAGCATCCTTGAGAGCGCAATTACAGAGGCATCTCAATCGTACCAGCAACAAGCATCCCTGCCCACTGAGGTGCAAGAACCGGTGATCCCCAATGAATCATCCAGCTTCACTCAACAACCCGAGGTACGAGGCGTTGCAGGCGATGTATGCTTTCTGTCGGCCCCTACGCTTACGAATGAGCCGATTCAGCCTCAAGTCGGTGTACAGCGATACGATGGTCTGGAATATGGATTGAACTATCCTACTATCGTTTATGATGGCCTAGAACATAAGAATAATGTTTCAGGGACTGTGCATCAGGAGACTATTGATGCCCTGAGCCTAGACATGAGCTTCTCGGATTGGAACCTTGACCAGAATCCCTCGTTTCAAGGCCTGTAGGAAAATGTCAGATGTGAAAAAAGAGGGAGAGAGGATCGGGAAAGGGAGTGGATTCAGCTTTTGCTTTTTGAGCTTCCATGTTGGTGGGCAAGGTGTTTGGACCTGGCTCAATTTACTCCCTCAATCATAAATCCCTTTTGTCTTAGAGTTTTGCCATTCAAGCGAAAGTTGTAGTTAATGGGGTGTAGTATTCCTTAGCTATTTAAGTTACTAATCTTTATCATTCTTTATTCTCTTGGTGACCCGATTATTGTCCCTATTACCTTTTTTACTGTTGTAGCTACTGTTGCAGTATTTATTTGTGTTATTGGTATTTTCGTTATAGTCTTCATCGTTGTTGTTTTCACTATCACTCTTGATCGCTGTCCGCCTACATAGCAAAACATTTGTCTTGAAATTTGTCACACGTCTATTATCGCTGCATGCCATGAATCTAAAATACACATATGAAATGGTGAAGCTCCAGAATGTACACTATCGTCTTCAGTCCTGCTGACTTCTCCCGCGCACCCTTAACCGTAGTTAAGCTCGAACCGGGTGGCGAACCCAGCTTCCGTCGGCTCAACCTCCTTAACGGGATGAAGAATCATCGGCGGCAAACAAGGCCGGCCGTGCTCAATTTCCCAGTTCCTACCGCCGATGTCCGTATCGACGTAGCCCATCCAGTTGTTATACAACCTGGAAGGGGGCTCTGCGCGGTAGTACCACGTAGTGCCCTGGTATCTTCTCTCTCTTCCGTAGCCGAACGGACTACCCTCGCCACCACTGCCCATGTCTCCTGAATTGAACCACTTGTCCAGGAACGCACCGTTCCAGGGGCGGTCGAACCAGGTAGGGTGCGGTGCGAATACGGCCTTGAAACCGTGCAGCAGAGACACGGTCTGAGGAGTCATTTCCGACGCAATGTGGTTACCGCGCAGGTTCTCGACATGCATGATATCCAAAAGACGCTTCGAAAGACGGGACTGCGTCACAATCGTCGTCCGGCGCGGAAGGGTCCTGGGGTCGGGGTTCTCCTCATCCTTGTATCCCCAGATATTATCGCCGAAAATCCAACTGCTGTTCACCGGGTTGAAGATCGGACCCAGCGTGATCAGGTCAGCGTCCTCCCCGACACCCCACTTATACGCGTCGTCTTCGGGGTTCGCAACCGGCGGCTTGGGTCCGACGGGGTTGATAAAGGATACCTTCGGCGGGCCCCAAACCTGGCTGCCGCGCGTGGCCTGCTCCGTGTGTTGACGGAAATCGGTGTCGTAGTCGCCGTGGAATGCAGGAATGTAGTACCGCTCGTTGCGTTCCCACAGGCCCCGGCGCGGCTGGTTCCGCGCAAAGCCCTCCAGCCGCCGCACGAAGTCGTAGTTGTGCCCGACGACCCGGACGTCCATTTCCCAGTTCCAGATGAAATCGAACTCGGGGTGGTCGATGCTGAACTTCTGGACGGAGAGCCACTGCGCGTGGTGGACCGTCCGCTCCTCGGCGTCCGTCAGCGCCGTGTAGATGTCCCACACGGCCTGGTCGTTCCAGACCTTGGTCATGCTATGGAATTCCTTGGGGATGTGCTTGTCCAGCACGTTCTGGCGCTCCTTGTCGTCGAAGATGTTGACCGAGTCGTCGCGCACGTGCAGCAGGAGGAACACCTCGTACTCTCCACCAGACCGCAGCGAAAGCTCCGAGACAAGCGCCCGGATCACCTGCTTGTCGTTCTCGGTGTACTTCTTGCCGGTGTACGTCCTCAGCAGCACGGCGGTCCGGCTCTCGTGCGCCGTGTCCTCCCGCGCGTCCAGCTCGCCGCCGTCCTCCCTCTTCCTCATCTCGTTCCCGTACTTGCTCGCAATGTCCTCGTACGCCGTGATGAGGTACTCGTTCGGCTTCCCCTTGCCGAACCGGCCCGCGTTCTGCTGCGCGCACTTTGTCTGAAGCTCGCCCCATTTGATGTTGTCCCAGTCGATCGGCAGGCCCGTCTTGGCGTGCAGCTGCGGCGTGAGCCCATACTGGCCGAGCCTGGTGTCGCGCTCGTAGCAGACATCGCCGTCCATGTCCATGATGTCGAAGCCGCCCATGCCCGGCTTGGGGAAGTCGCGCGGGTGGCCCTTGAAGACGAGCAGGTCTTCCACGGGCTCGCCGAGCGCGCCGACGCACGGCACGTAGGCGGCGCGGCGCGTCTTGTTCC